TACAAGATGCTATAGAACCCTTTGTGTGTGAGCAACTCTCGTTCGTATGGGAGGGGGGCTTTTCCCTGTGTGTTGACACAAGGGTGCATAAAATCACTGCAGGATTCTGTTCTGTTCTCTAAAGACATAATTATACTTTTTGACTTTGTGCATTTTAAAATTTCTCAGTTGAACTGGACATTGCATTCCCAAAGAGTTTTTGCAAATGCAAGCATCACAACTTCCTTTGTCGGCTTTGGTTTTTTCCTCTTCAAGGACAGGTAAACCACTTCTTTTCCCGTTGTTGTGATCATAATAAGAGTTTTTAAACAAAACATAATAAAAAGGCAATTGAATGTAACCTATCATGGCTTTAAGTACCAGAATTGGCAGAAGCTGGAACATTGTGTTTCCTGCTTGGCAGGGGGTTGGACTCGATGGCCCTTGTGGTCTCTTCCAACTCTATGATTCTATGATCTGGAAGTCAAATATGAATCACCATAGATAGCTCTGCCGGTTCAGCATGAGCCTCTTAATCTCAGGGTCATAAGTCTGAGACCCACATAGGGCAAAAGATTCCTGCATTGCAGGGGGTTGGACTAGATGACTCTCATGACCCCTTCCAACTCTATGATCCCATACCCACAATTCCTTAAGGGGCAGCGCCAACTGGATAATCCAGCAAAGTGGATCTCTAAAGCCTTTCCTCTACCTACAGACTACAGTTTGAGCCCCAAAGTTAGTCACATCCATTTTCTCCAAGTATGCATGAAAAGGAGTGGCCTGATCCAGTATATTCATGATCCAGAAACCTTTCCCATTCGTTTCAATGAAAGGGGCTGATCTTTTTGAATGAAGACAGATCTCTCCACAGGCACACAAAACCTGTGTGTGAATTCGAGTACATACAGATCAGTGCCAATATTAATGATTGCACCAACACATACTACATTATGCAAACAATCTGACATACCTCATCCTGGAGCTTCCATAACTACTGTACAGTGGTACCTCGGGTTACATATGCTTCAGGTTACATACGCTTCAGATTACAGACTCCGCTAACCCAGAAATAGTACCTCGGGTTAAGAACTTTGCTTCAGGATGAGAACAGAAATCGTGCGGCGGCGGCGCGGCGGCAGCAGGAGACCCCATTAGCTAAAGTGGTGCTTCGGGTTAAGAACAGTTTCAGGTTAAGAATGGACCTCCGGAACGAATTAAGTACTTAACCCGAGGTACCACTGTATCTGTCTGGCTAGCGCAGGATGTTCTGATTTCCCTGGTTACTTGGACTTACCTCTCTAATTTGTGCTGAATTCTGAAATTCCAAGTTTTAGCAATTTAGAAACATGGTCATTTATGACGATGACAACAACAACAACAACAACACGGCAGTACCTGTCTTCCCCAACTTGATAGCACTCTCCAGCTGCCTTGAAGCCCAACTCCCATCAGCCCCAGCCCCAGTGCCGGATTACCAGAGTAGGCACTGGCCTATAGGCCCCATGCCTTTTAGGGGACAACGGGTTGAAATAATATTGATTTGATCGTGAAAGAAAATTACACTCAAGTTTTCTTAGTTCAGTGTTATCCCACTAGAGCACGCACACAAGGGCCCCTCTAAGATTTTGACTGCCTAGGGGCGTCCACAGGGTTTAATCCAGCACTGCCCAGCCAGCATGGCCAATGGTCAGAAGCAAAGGGAGTTGCTGTCCTTCAGTATCTGAAAGGCCCCAACTCAAGGAAGGTTGGTCTGTGCACATCTTTGGCACTTATAAGGTTGGCTCATGCAAAAAAAAGGTTGGTTCATGGAAAACCCCACACTATTTATTTATTTAGGCTTGTGGTGGGAAAATCCCCCATTCCTGTACCAATGATGCAAACAGTTGTATTCCTTAAAAATTCAAAGCCAACACATAAGTGGTCAGTTACACGGAAGGAGAGTGACTGCAATGATAAGGGGATTTTAAAAAAATTATCTCTGTAATTTCCCAATAACTGATAAAAGCTGTTCCAGGACAAAAGATAAATAAATAAATCACATATTAACAGTCTCAAGCTATCACAACATTAGGGAAGTGTTCCTGTTAATAACCCCACTGTTATAATAATCAATCATTCATGCAGCATTTACAAGGTATTTATAGAGTCCCAGTTGTGGTCCTCTTGTTAAGGGCGAGTCAAGGCTGACCCACCCATGAGGCTAGGTGAGGAGACCACCTCAGGTGGCTGGAGAACCACAGGGGTAGAAGATACTGAGGTAAATCTTTATTCCCCCACTCTTGTTTCTGATGTAGATCTTCACTCACCCTGACTTTCCAGACTGTTTTGGGCCAGCCCTGGGCGAGTCATCTGAATCACATTTCACCATTATAATGAGAAATGGGGGCTGGGTCAGTATGTTCTATGGCTTAGAGTTCGAAAAAGGCTCAGCCAATTGACTTGAAATTTGGCATTGTAGGAGAGGAAGGCTTGAGGGCGGTCTGTGCTGAATTAGGGATACAAAAGATTTTGATCAAGTTAAATGTTTGATGAGAGACTCTGGCACGTTGACAGATGCTGTGTGTTCTTCTTCCATCGACTTTGCTGAGGTGGTTTTTCTGAAAACATTTCCCAGTTTGTCCTGCGTGTTTTAAGAAACGGGCTTCTACTTTAGGTCAAAGGGGAACGCTTAGTATAAGATTTTTACCCAGGAGTCGTGTAACAATGGTAGCTGTATGAGACTCTTACTCTGCTGCGGCCATGCAACCATTTCTGGTTGTTGTTTGGAACCTTGCTATTGCTAGGCAGGATTCTCACAGACCAAGGCTTACGGTAGTTTGAAAGCTCAAGGGATTGGTTGGCATCTGGCACCTTTAAAGAAATAGCGATGTGGCCACTCCTACAAATAAAAGCTCTGTGTGGACCCTGAGTACTTAACAACTACCGTTCATCCACAAACTCTCCCTTTTGGGGATAAGGTGCTCAGAAGGATGGTGGCAGGCCAGCTACAGATACTTTAAGAGGTTATTGTGACTCTCCCTCTCTCTCATACTTTTTTTTTTAATTAAAAAATATAATATTTTCCTACTGTTTTAATGCTTGCATCTGTGTTTCTATTATACTGTTTCACTGAGGGTTTTGTATACCATTTAAATATTTTTTAAAAAATATTAAGCTGTTTAGAAATATGAATAAATAAATAAATGCACAAATTCCTCACTGCTGCTCATGTAGGCTGAGAAAAGTTAGGTATTAAAGGAGAGGGGGAGAAGAAACCAGATATGAGTACAAATAGTTTGAGACATGGGCATAGCGGGGGGGCAGGTGCCCCTCTGCCCCCCCCCAAATCAATACAAATCTGATGTTCTGCCCCCTCCACAAAAGTCTGCCCCTAACAAAAAACCTGGCTACACCCATGGTTTGAGAAGTGTGGGGGGAGGGAAGGTAAAATATCTCAGAAGTACACAGGATCTGGACTTCTGATGGTCAGCTTTTAAAGGAACAAGAAAGCCTTCAGGAAAACGAAAGTAGGAAGAGTGTTTTAGGGGTCGATTGTCTGGCAGTGTGTGCTTTATCTGTTGAATTTCCCAAAGCTACTCACAAGAACTTCGTTCTGTGACTCATGCCACAGAATGACTTAATCTGAAGACAGTTGCTACTTGTCAATGTGACCTCACTTGTACGCAGGGGCATTGCTTAATAGACTTCGTGCTTGGGCCCATGACACAATTTACCGCCAGACAAATTAAGACAACAAATGGCTAGGGTCTCATCAGGACTGTACTTTACAGAGCACGTAGCCACTCTGTTAGTAAAGAAAAAAATGGTTTGAAAAGAGGGGAAGGGGCAAGAGATACGTGGTGGTGCAAAAGACCCAGAGCCATTTCTGCCCTGGATGGATTTAATTTTATGTTGGTATGCCCAGGGCAAGTGTTCAGTTGCTGGTGGGACATAAACAAAGAGCACAATAACCTAATTTCTTGGGACAAGGAATTCCACAAATGAGGTGCCTGTACACTATCACTGACCAACACTGTATGTTTACCCATGTTTTGATCACTTGCTGTAGGGTGCCATTGGAGGGATGAGAATCTGGAGTGTCAGAAAGGCAGGCAGGGAAAGTGTTGAGCATCAATCTCCCAAGTGTCTTTATCCTTATTGCTAAACCATACTGAACAGCCACTTCTTCCAGTTGCCCTCCAATTCAATCAAAATCAATACAAATCTGAGGTTCTGCCTCCCCCTACCAAAAGCCTGCCCCCCTAACAAAAATCCTGGCTATGCCCATGTCCTGGCCCTCCTCATTTAGCAAGATAGACTCTTAGGTGGAAAATAAAAAGAGGGATGGATAAGGGAACTATAAGCCATGCAAGAGTTTACAATGCCATAGACAAAGAGTATTCTCCTAAGCAAGGAGGCAAAAACTAACTGCATACTGTATCTGAAAATTATGAGTCACGAATCACATGAATTTTGTGCAGCTAACCCCATGATTTTGGAATAGACCATAACTGGCATATCTTCACAAATTGGCAGCTATACTATGCTTAGAGGTCAATTTCTAAAGACAGGGTTAGTGAGTTGGTCTAAAAGTCTTCCCCTCTCAAGAGAAATTCCTTCACCTTAAAATCCCAGATATGGATGTGTGGGTGGGTGTTGTGTGTGCCTGCAGATTGGCTGTAGTGGTCAGGGAACGGAATTCTGCACATGCTCAGAGGCTCATATATGTCCCGGGGATGAGCTCTATGAAAAACAGGGCTGAGTCCTACCAAACCCGATATTTTCGCAAACTCTGTTTCACTCTTAAGGCTTCGAAGAGTGTTATCTACAGGAGCCCACTAAGAATTAAATCCCACGCTCCGTCCAGGATATACCAAAAGGCAGCGGAAGTTTTCAAAGCAAACTTTTCCAGCTTTGCTTCCAAGCAAACACTGGGAGTGTGGAGGGCGAAGGCGGGGGGAGAGAGAGGAAGAGAGGGTATCGTCAGAGAGAAACCCAACCTTAGCAAGATTTGCGTCCTCACTGAGCTCAGCAGGCTTGTTTTGAACGCAAGGGGCGCTAGGGGCATATGGAGGATTTTCTTTTCATGGGGTGTGTGTGGGGGGGGGGTTAATTATCATATGTATATGTCAGTTTCAGGAAGGGGGTTGTACTTGGATAGCCCGTAGCAACCTTTAAAAAAAGAGGGGAAAGAGAGAGGAGTGGAAAAGGATCAGAGGAATTAAAAGTGCAGAAGTAACTCCGTCGGATCACACAAGCTCACCCGGAGCCTGACTTTCGACGCGGCCGGGCGTGCAAGTTGCTTGCCTCTCTCTGCCCATTCATTGGCAAGGGACTGGCCGAGTTGCAAGCTCCGCTCCTGCCGCCAGCCGGGATTGGTTGGATTCCCGATCACGCTGCGCCAAACTTTCCCAACTTTTTAAAAACTTTCGCTTCCCTCTGTGTTGTGCTCTTTTTGCATGGTCTTCGCAGCCGACGAGGGAGCTGCTACTCGCGCGCTTTCTGCTGCCTGGGAAGAGGAGAAGGAGGAGGAAAACTTCCCCGCGGACGCCGAAGGGCCCTGGCCAAGGCAGCCACAGGAACAAAAGTCTGCAGCCGCCTGCAGAACCCCTTCCTCCTGCTCGCTCTTCCGACGTGAGCAGGCAGCGAGCAGCCCCAGCCTCGGCGCCCGGATTCCCCTGCTGCTCCCGGCCCAGCGCGACCCCCGAGCGGCGAGAAGGAGACGCAGCTGGGAAAGGCGATTCCCCTGCCTGCCATGCAGAACTACAAGTACGACAAGGCGATGGCTCCCGAGAGCAAGAACGGCGGCAGCCCTGCCTTGAATAACAACCCTAGCAAAAGCCCCAGCAAGAAAGCTTTGCTCATTTGCCTCGACCTCTTCTGCCTCTTCATGGGTGAGATTTAAAACTTGAGCGACTCTCTCTCCCCCCTCTTCCCCATCTTAATTCACTTTCCTCGGATTTTATAAGAAGCCGTTCCAGAGGGTTGCACAACTACTTTTTTCCCCTCCTTCCAGCAGTCTCTCTGCTAAAACTAACCAGTCTCCTATTCTTCTTTCCATTCTTCGTCTTTACTCTTTTGGTTGCTCACTTTTGTTCTCTCCTTTCTTGCTTTTTAAAGAAACCAAAACACCACAAAACTTTGTGACTGGGACATAACAAATCTTCTGGAGCCGCTCTCTGCTTTGCAAGAAGACAGTTCTTCGGAATAGATTCCTCTCCTCTCCTCATCTTGCATCCTGCAAGCTTTATTTTTTTTCCCTTTCCCCTGACCTTTTCTGCTTTCATGATGGGTTATGATGCCAAAGGATAAAAATGTGGGAGGAAAAAGCAAGCAGAAACAAAGCAAAGCGCTCCACTGCGTTGCAAAAGAGCTCTTAAGTAGCAATATATGCTGTACTGTGTGTACAAAATGCACTAGCTAGGGCAGCCGGGCGTTGTTGATGCCAAGAAGGTTTTTTTTGTTTTTTTTAAGGGCTTCATTTTACTCTAGGAAAGCACCCAGCGAAACCACAGAAACGTATGGAAACCCAAAGCAGCCCTGGTGCCCGTCCAAATAAAATGGATGTCCCAGCAAATGAGCTGAGCCTCATATGTAAACAAAGCATCTCCCATCCCAGCTGGCCCCTGAGGAGCAGCCAGGGAAACAAGGCATGCTTTTCACTTGGTTGCTCCTGGTTAAAGAATAGGCTTCAAAGGTGCCCTCCAAAGGATTTTCTGTAGTGGGAAAGGGAGCGAGGGAGTGTTTTGTGTGCCTTTCAAAAGAAAAAGGAGAAAGGAATTGCAATGATCTCAAGAAAAGATCCAGTTAGCAGCAGTTGTCCTGAAGCTGATTTTGCTCTCAAACCACTTTGTGGCTGAAAGATCCCCAGTTTTCCAAGGGAAGGGGTAAAAATGTGGCTTGCAGAAAAGAGAGGAGAGGTGAAGTTTGGCTGTGCTGTTTGGTACACACACACACACACAGAGGAACACACATCTGTGACCTGTCAGTGTTAAGAGGGGAAAGCATGTGCTGCAGTACTTGATCTGCTTTGAATTCTACCTTGTGGAGTTCCAGGGAAGTGTGTCTTGGTTAAAACGGGGGCGCTCCTTAAAACGAGGGTTCCTGAAGTTGTCTTGAAAGGGTATAGGAAACAAAGAAAGAGCAAACCTTTCCTCTCTGTTAGGGCTCTTGCTTCTTTAACCCAACAGGAAAGCCAGCAGCGCTAGCTCTCCATGCCTGGAAAGGCTTCACCTTTGACATTTCTGTCTACCATTCAGCTGTTAATGGCACAGAAACCCTGCCTGAGGAAATGTTAAAAGGTGACAATCCTACCATGTAGCTATGGTGTCTTAGCTAGCTTATGGTGGCTTTTATGCCACCATTCTTGATCGGAGGCATAGAGTATTCCAAAAAGGTGGCAAGTGTGCAGAAGCTTGGGCTAAGACACTCGGGTGGATCAGGCAACCTGGTGCCCTTCAGATGTTTGGGACAGCATTTCCACAGGCTGTGCTGGCTGGGGCTGATGGGAATTGTAGTGCAAAGGGCGTGTTAAAGGATGTCTGGATATCCTATCTGTTCCTGAAAAATATCTGTCTGCTTTAGGAAAACTGCAAACCATCCAGGGCAGAAAGATGCTCTCTATCTGAAAAGATTGTTCCTTTCTTCAGACTGTCAGTGCTCCAAAGAACTTTACAAAACAAACAGTGCTGTTGTCATATGGCGCCCGTTTTCTCTTGATAGTGAAGATACAGTGCTGAATTGCCCCTTTAAATAGATCGCCATAGGGAAAAGTAAAAATGCATGTCTCAAACTTCTTACTCTAAGTAAGCTTGGAGACACTGAAAGGATTACTCCCTTTTGAAGTTCTCTGAGTGTCCTGGCTCCAGTGATTTATTATGCTTGAGGGGTTGTGATGTTTAGAGAAAGAACAAAATAAGGATGTCAGTTCACCTGACTGAATCCAGATCAGGGCCATTTCACATTCAAGACGAAGGTTTTCTAATGAGTGACTTTATGTGTTTTCAAAGTCTTCCTCCTGCTTCAAATGTTTAGGTACCCTTAAAAATGCAACGTGAGATGCCATTGGCATTAAGAGACTGTGGAAGGGAATCCCAGCTGGTACAGAATGGAATGAGACACTGTAGTTTACACTAGTAGCATCTGGCTTTGTTGGGATCTGTAATAATGCTGACTGCTGTCCAATCTGCACAATTTGATGTGTATATAATAACAGTGCGTGTTAAGAGCAATTAAATCCCAAGAGCTGAATAGCTCTACTATAGTGTAAGTGGAGTATTGGCATGTTCCCCGGCGCTTGAGATGCTGTATAGGTGTAAGGCTTTATTTTGGGAAAAGAGAATCTTCTCTCATTGTTCTCTTATGTATCGTATGATGAACATTTAGTGAACCAGCATCTTCAAAAGATCTTTGTGTCTGCTGCTCATTTCTCTTGAGTAGAAATCCATTGTGTTTGGTGAACCAATCAATAACCACTCTGTATCACTTAAGAAATTCTAAGAGTTTTTGAATGTGGAAATCTTCTTGATGGGCTCACGGTCATACTATTTCAGTTCACGTTAGTTGGTGTTTTGTCATTAACTTTAAAAGACGCAATATGAAGAGGGATTGTGCTCAATGAACATTTTTTAACACACAAAAATTTTCTCCTCTGTCATCATAATGACCTGTTTATAGGGCTAAGTGCAAAAAAGAAAAGGGATATATCTGTAAACAGAGTCTAGGGGGCACTGTGGTGTAGTGGATGGCGTGTAATTCACCAAGGCAATTCATGATGGTACATTGAGTCAAGGACTTGAGTTCCAATCCTGAGCATTAGTTATTGGGAGAGTAACCCAACATTTGTGTGCTATACCAGCTATGCATTGTAAACAACAATGCTTATTAAATTGTTGGAATTTAGTATTGAGGAAGCAGTATTGTGGTAACAGCAGAGGGGGCGAATCACAGTTATAGGAAAAAGTGCTTAAGAAACAGTGAGCTGAGTTTGATAGCTGGATTACATCATTTATAGTCCAGGGACAACTCTGAAAGATATAACAGATCTTTGTCTTGGGCCACTCTACTCTATGAAATATGGACATAGATGGTGCATCTTTGTACAGGTATGTTACAATGAGATGAGTATGGAGTGGCACCTTAGTGGCTAATTAGTTTATGTGATACTGTACAAGCATTTATAGACAATACTTACTTGGATGTCTGAAGTTCACTGAGAAAATGCTAGGTAGGTAAAACTCACAAGGATCAATTTAACAAGGTGAGAGCTAACAATAATAACACATCTCTTGACTACTGGAGCACTCCATGTCTCTACTATTAAATATTTTTAGTGCTTCAGTAATCATATACTGTATTGCCATGAAAGCTTATGCCATAATCAATTTCTTAAAAAGAGTTGGGATCTTCTGGAAAACAAGAAAAAGATAAAAATAAGATACCACAAGAGTATGGTTTTTGAAGGCAGCTACCCCTCTGGAAACACATTAAGCTTATTACAAATTTCACAAGGTGAAATTTTATGCACACTTGCTTGGAAGTAATGAATTCTGGGAGCTTTACTAATGACTGAACACAAATAGGATCAGGCTGCGAGTTTTAACACTGTGAAAATTAAAGAGAGTTGTGTCTTCTCCTGTGCTTCCAATGAGGCACTTGCCTCAGTTGTTAAGCCAATGCACCGTATCTTGTCATTCTGCCCCTGTACTCCCAAGTAGCTACCCAGCTGTGAATATTTAGTTGTAACATTGTATGAACATCTAGCAGGGTCCGGTATTGGAAGAAAGCTACAGGACTGCAAACAACTTTTTCTATGAATGGTTTACATGCTGAAGAATCTTTCAGTTACACTTACGTTACAAAATGAATGGATTTCCAAGAAAGAAAAGAAGAAGACAACAGCATGTGACTTCAATTATCCAGATACCACAGCCTTTTAACACTGATTGTTTCTGCTTAGAGCACATTTTTCTTCATACTGTCAGTTTGGTTTAATTTTTGCAGTTTATTGTTCATCTGTTCTCTATTATCAGGCACAAATATATTAGGCAGAGAGAGAGAGAATAATAATAGCTTTTTGCTTTATAATCCCACATGAATATGGACCTGTGGAAAAAGTTTCATCCTCTAGTGTCTGGAGGAAATGAACTATTTGATATGTACAGCATAAAAGTGATTAGTAGAAACATAGGATCCTTTATCCTAAGAACATAAGAGGAGTCCTACAAAAGCAGACCAATGGCATTTCTATTCCAGAATTCTGTTCCCACATTGGCCAACCAGATGCCGGTGGGAAACCCTTGAGGAACTGGTATTTGGTGTCATATGGCCTCTTATACTGGGATTAAAAGCCTTATCATGCATGAAATTGTCTAATTTGCTTTTAGATCTTTCCAAATTGGTGGCCATCGCTACATGCTGTGGTAGTGAATTCCTTCATTCAATTAAGGTGCTACGCGGAAAAGTACCCCTTTATCTCCCTGCCCCATCTTTTCTCCAAATTAAAAGCCCCAAAAGTTGTAGCCTCCAGCCCCCTTGGTTACCCTTTCTGCATCTTTTCCAGCTCCTTTTCTGAGGTGCAAAGAGAGCATGCAAGGGATCAGATTGCATGGCCTAACTCTATTTATCCCTGCTTTCCAGGAGTGCACAAATCATAGAACTGTAGAGTTGGAAGGGACCACGAGGGTCTTCTGTTCCAACCTCCTGCAATGCAGCAATCTTTTGCCCAATATATGGGGCTCGAACCCACAACCTTGAGATGAAGAATCTGTTGCTCTACCGTGGTGTTTCCCAAACTTGGGTCTCCAGCTATTGTTGGACTACCTCATCCCTAGCTAGCAAGACCCATGGTCAGGCATGATGGGAACTGTAGTCCAAAAACAGCTAGAGACCCAAGTTTGGGAAACACTGCTCTGCCAAATGAGTTATCCCAGCTGCCATCAATATGGTGTGGGGACCAGGTGTGAGAACCTGCTAGCAGATATTCACAGCTCTGTAGCCAGTGCCTTGTGGTCCCCGCCCCCCCTCACTTCACTTGTTCACCGTGCTATAACAGTGGCTGTAGACCTGGACATGTCAAACAACATCTTCAGAGTGGTAGTGATACATGTGCACATGTGAGAAGAACAAGGGAATTTACTACCTGCCCTATGTTTAACCATGCCATTAACACCTAACTGCATATCTTCCGAGAGATGCACATGCTATTCTTGCATTGGGAGACTGCCAGCACTCTTTCACACATCGACAATCCCAGGATGTGCAGAATGTATGCCACTTTGCTTTTAGGAATGTTTCTAAGAGCATTTAGCCAAGCATGTAGAAGCTCCCTTCAGACCTCTGCAGGAAGGTGGATGGACTAGGTGCCCCTAGCGCACCTGGAGACATTGGGGGTTGGGCCAGCGTGCACACTGCCATTCCTCTCCCTAGTTTGAGCTCTTCATTCCTTTTGAACACTTGAAGAAGACTCAGCTCATTCAGTCATCCAGATATGTGTAGTGAGTGCAGTACAATTACATAGTGTTCTATCAGTGATGGGAATGAATGAGCTTCTTAAGTACCTGCTGTGTTGCAAAATTATTCTGTGCTTCAGACTTTAATCCCATGGACACTTACTTGGAGTAAGTCCCCTTGAAGGTTTTTGGATTTATTTCTAGATAAACATGGGTAGGATTGTGCTATCAGCTGCATGTCAAGAGCAAAGGTTCTTGGGAGCTTTTCAGATGATGTATTGTTAGAAGTGCATTTCCTCCTCAGTGCAGGTTACATATTGGAGATATTCCTGCAGGATTGCAAAAGCCCTTGATTCTGATCTAATCCTAACTTGACACTTTGCTTTTCACATGGCTGTTTGAAGCAACAAGTGCTTTTTAGTTAAGGAAAACCAGAGCTTGTTGGAGAAGATCTAGTGTTATGTTAAATAACTTTTGTTCAGAGTTAATGGATTATTGAAAGTTCCACCTGAGTCATAACACTGAGTGGCAAGTTGCTATTCCTCAGCCTCCAATATCTAAAACAGGAACAAGAACGTTGTGAGTGAAAATTAATTAAAGATGGTAAAAGACTTTGCATATTCAAATTAGTTCTCTTTTATTACTTAGCTAGAACATATTTAGTTTTCAGTATGATAGAACCCAGGTATAGAGATGCTAGGCTGGTTGAATATAAGGAATTTACAGTGAAATCTTCTACACATGTACTTAGAATCCTACAGATATTTTACCTGGGAGTAAATGCTGAGCAAACATCTATGAATTGCACAATTATACTTATAAATTTGGAATGATGGGTCAGGTTTGTATACGTCTTCTCCTCCTTGCCATCTTAGTAATAATTCATTTTCTATGTTTCACAAAAGCACCTGAATGTTCCATTTTATTATTCACAGATGCAGAAGAAAAAAAGAAAAATAATGATTATAAAAATAAATGCTGTGTTGGACTATTGTTTTGTATAGACTACCTGGAGCCAATTAATAGCAGGAAAAACTGAGTCTTAAATTTCTTATGATTGGATGTCAGAAATAATTGGCTACAACTGGTACTTACAAACTACTCCTAGTGTGAATTAATGTTTCTTCTCATGTTCTACTCCTAATCATTAAGAAAACTGTTTATCTGAATGGTGGAAAAGTTGGATTTTGATTAAGAATAATTAAAGTCATTAATAAATTTCCAGGCAAGGAATTTATTTACTTTCTATTGATGAATTGGTTGAATATATTTTGCTTCTGAAGCCCTTGTTTCCTACCAGGATTATTCTTCAAATAGACCTCATCATAGAAATGCTTGCCCATTTGGTTTAGGACTGTTTGCAACCTTGTGAGAAGTTACATCAGAGATGGTTGATTAGATTAAACTTTATTTTTTCCATGGTTTTGCTTTTATTTATATCCTGAATAACTTGAGGTATTAATGGTGGCATTAGATATTCCCCAGGCTTTTTACAACTCTGTGTAATATAAAGCATCTTGCTTGATTTTGTCTGAGGCTTGCTGAAACACTTTCAATGTTTGCTCCTCTTAGAAGGGCAGTATTTGGACTGGCAACTTTGTATATCCATGTCACAGTTGCCATCCAGATTCAGCTACTGAGCTTTATTTTATTATACCAGCCAATTACTCAACAAGAGCAACCGAGGGGATAACGAGCTGATAATGTGCTTGCTATCTCTTCTGCTTGTGTGAGCTCTGCTGGACTTAGTGGTTTGTAAGAATAACTTCCAAAGTAAATGTCATCCTAAAGTGTTGGTGCCTGGAACAGAGGACAAATGCTATATGGGGGATGTTGAGAAATAACGGGTCTCCTTTAAGAATTTTGGGTTCCTGAATTGATTTAATAGCCAAAAGAGAAAGAATAGACAGGAAACGGGTCTGCAACCTGAAGTATATAAGATCTCATGAAATCAATAATTCACTAATCTAGCTTGCTTTCTATTACATAATAAATCCATTTCTTATAGTTGGTACTGGAGCATATGAAATATTAGTTCTGCTTAGCCCATTTCTGTGTTTCATCATTAACTGCATCTCACCCTAAGGCATAAGAAATGTTCTTCTATTGAGACAGCTGTTTGGTTACTCCAAGGCTGGGGAGCCTATGGCCCTCCAGAAGTTGGACTCTAATTCCCATCAGCCTCAGCTAGCAGGGCCCCTTCTCTATGCTCCATGGAATAGAATGGACTCCCCACTTGCTACTGATGTTGTTATAGCAGCTGTACTTCCCTACTGCCAGTTATTCAAGCTGTGATCAACCTGGAGAAGCACTGGCAGCCACAGTCTAAGATTATGACAGATTTGGTATGTTTGATTCAGCATTGATTGCTGGTTCCATTTACATCAGCAAATGCTTGTTCTGTATCATACTAAAACGAGCTTTTTAATATAGATATTGGTTATTCCTGAGAAGTAAGGCTTGTGAAGGACAGGAAACAGTCTCAAAACAGTAAGGAGGAGTTTTGCAGCCCCTGGCAATGTTGCCCAGTTCCCCTTTTTTCCTGCCACTGCCATTTTTCCAGCGCCTTTTCACCCTTCTGTGTACCAGATATAGTGGAACCACAGGATATAAATAGCCCATGCTCCCAATATTCACTCAGGCTGCAAGGGAAAGGACTTACCCTCTAGGTAAGCCTGGGAAACCAATCCTGAAATGCTGGCGAGCATTGCCAATCCTTGCAAACAATACTAATTTTCCAGTTGTTTCAATAGTCTGAATTGTTTTAAGGCAGGTTCCTATTGGCACTGTGTTTCCAAGGTGACAGGATATTTGCATGCCTGATTTGAAACCACACCTTATAATAGGTTCTGATAACATCCCAGTGGACAATCCATTATCAACATTTCCATTTTTACAGGTTGGAAGAAGGTGTTAAAAGACAGGTGTGTTTGAGTGCTCACGAAACAGACTTTGTACCTCTGTCAACCAGCTTAATTCTCTACACATATTGCATTGCCAGCTTTGAACCCTGAATGGTGTGCCAATATGGTTGCCACTAGGAGAAAATAAAGTCCTTCTTGTTTTAGTAGTTCTGATGCAGGAAGACCTTATATGGGAATGATGACAACTCCCCAGTCATCCAGATTTCCCTTTTATGCTGGAAGGAGAATGGACCACTGAAACACTGGGGAGAATGCTTTAACACCCAGGGTAGTTTATGTTTGCATATTTGAAGGCGATGTCATGAAATAAGCTTATGTACTTACATGAACTTTTGAGGAAGGGTCCTGCAATTTCACTGTTGTTGAAATGGGATCAGCACCTGAAGGCCTACATTGCAGAGGCACCGCATTGTGCCGTATTTCAAACATGCTTTCATTTCATTCTGTTTTTTAATCCCTTGCATATCTTGCAACTTTCAGCATACCAGAGTTTATACATTCCCACAATGTGTAGGCTCTTTTGCTGGTGGGAAACTAAGCCCCTTAATCAGGCTTCTGTGCATGAGGCTTTTGTTTTGACAGCTGTCAAAAGAAATTCAGAAGGTATAGCTTTCACTTGATTGGTGGATGATTCAACTAGTTACAAGTCTAAGGACTCTAAGCGGCAGGAGAAGCATGTGAAATTGCCAGAAGTTGTGATTGCTTTGAAAAAGTAGGCAAGTGATAAAACAGAGAGTTAAGCTACCTTTAGATGGATTTGGCCGACAGTTTTTATGCTCATGGTTAAGGGAGAAAAAAACCCCCTCTAGTGACAACTTGTAATTAAAAAGAAAATCAAACTGGAGTAGATCAAATGAATCAGTCACTTTCTCAGTCTTGAGCCCCATAAAACTCTACTTCTTATGTTATCCAATAAGCTTTTTTTAAAGATACTTGATTGACTGGGTATTAGGCCTGTCAGTGGAAGCTAACCCTAAAAGCCAAACTCAATCTCCATTTTGAGATTTTTTTTCAGAGCTAGAGCTGATGGAAATTGTAGTCCAAAATGAATGGACTGCACCAGGTTGGCAGGTTGACTCCTTTAGCTCATACCTTGGGCTGGAGTGTAACTATTAGGAATGTATATCACTGTTATTGTGTTCTGATTGTGAACCTGCATCTTGTCTGATCTTTTGTCAAGAAGTTTTATGGACCATTGATATGACTCAGCCTGAAAATTCTTACTTGTTCTTGATTTTGCTGGGGAAGTTAATTGATTCAACTTGCAAAATAATGAGCTGTGTGTGTATATTGTATATGATTTCATCACAGAGTGTTTGCTTAGCAAGAGGACTTCCTCAATAAATTGTCTTGGGACAATTCGAATTAGCTCTCCTCTGCATTATCAGTGCCTACAGGCAATGTGCTGCTGACAAGGTTTAGCAACATCTGACAAGTGAATCAGTGCATGATTGTGTTATCATTGCGTTAAAAGTTGCATTGTGTTAAAAGGAGTGTTGGTGAAGTAATAGAGTGCTTCTAAAATGATGGAATCAGAACCTATTGGTTAAACGTCAGAAACCTGTGGCTGACATTAGTGGATGATGTGAACCTCTCCCTTTCTTTTCATTACATTCATTCCAGACTCCAAAGATCAGATGAGTCTTTTACGTACCTTTTGGCAGAGTTTTAAGAAGCAGCATGGCGCAGCCTGCAAGGAATAACAGTTTTGATGAGACTGGAAAGAGGTGACCGTTTGGATATCATTGTAGAGTGGGCAATAGAAGCAGGAAGGAAAGGAGTAGGGTAACTCACACTTTACAATGTTGTATGCAAGGTCCTATATTTTGAAGACTTTGTCAGCTGTAGTCCTGATGAATCCTGGGAAACTAAATGGGTGATGGAATGTTGAGGAGAGAACAGATAGGCAGGAAAATAACAGGCCCTGGACAAGTGAATTCAGGGACTTCACAAATGAATTCTATTCTCACCCTGGTGTATTTGACCTTATGCTTGTTGTTTTTAATGAACTAGCCTTCCATGCTAAGTTAGCAGGTGCCTAAAAGGGATAGGTAGGCTAAAATGGTGAGTAGAAGTGGGCAATCGTTTTGATTCTGAGGGACACTTGCAGCAGTGGGCAGTCAGTCGGAAACTACATGCCAGTGAGCACTGCCTAGCCGTACCCTTCACCACCACATCCTCTCTCTCTCTCTCTCTCTCTCTCTCTCTCTCTCTCACACACACACACATCTTTGTATGCCTCATACACAGATACACACCCTCCCTGCCTCTGTCACACACTTAAGAGACACATAACCCCACTCTCTCATACACAAGCACAACTCACCCCCCACATATGCACACTATAACCCATCCCCAGCTGCGTTAGAATTGCTAGAAAGGGCCCTGCAAGTGAAAGAAAATAATTGTCACAGCAATCTTGTGTCACTGATGCAGCTAATATAACCATTGCTGCATTGCTTAGCATCTATTTCACACCTGGGCAACTTGTGGTCCTTGCCCTAATTACTGGACAAAACAACAGACCTAGTGCTAGACAAAACAGTGTGTCCTATCCCGTCCCATGCCTCTCTCTTTAGAGAAAAGGGAGTGTAGTTCCAGCCTTTAGTAACATTTTTCAAAGTTTCAAGCACATTTATGCTTATCTACGTTCTCTTGTATTACAGTCTGACACCAGGAATGGAAGGGTGCAAAGTGTTATGACGTCCCTATATTGCAGGGAGTACCAGAATAAATTTTAAAAACCACCCCAAAAAACAACAACTGAGCTTATTGGTACATCTTTAACCTTCCTCTGATAGCATGGAGAATGGGCTCAGTTGTTTTGTCTGCCTTCAAGGATCTCTGCATGCTCTGCTGTGGAACAGGGTGGCCCTGGGTTGGGTGAGGAGGGCAGAAAGTAGAAGACAGGCAAGGTCACAGAGTCTGAGAAACTTGTCTAGAAAGGATCCTGTATTAGTGGTGGTTCAGAGAGATTCCTTTCCAAGTTTCCCACTAAAATAAATAAATAATACAGACACCTGTCAGTTGGAACTTCAAGTGAAAACAGTGGTGCTTCAGAAGCTAATTTTGTGTTATTTGGTGCAATCAGCTGCCTAGACTGCTGTGCTTCTGTTGATCACCAACTTGAGGTTTTGTGGACAGTGGCTTTAGTACCGTATTTTTCGCCCTATAGGACCCACCGGCCCATAGGACGCACCTAGATTGGGGGGGGGAATAAAGGGGGGGAAATTATTTTTCCCCCTCCCCGAGCTTCCCCTGACCCCAGCTCCCAGAACAGGAAGCTCTCCGCAAGCCCGAGTTTCCCCCTCCCCCAGCCCCCAGAACGGGACCCAGAGCCATGCCGAAGCTGCGCGCAGCTTTGGCATCGCTCTGGGAGCTTGCGGGGCTGGGGGAGGGCGAAGCCCTCCGCCAGCCTCCAAACCAGGTCGGGAGACAGTGGGATGGCACGCTGCGCCTCCCCGCTGTCCCCCGAGTTTGCGGGGCTGGCGACGGGGAGGAGCAGGCTTCTCCCCCCCGCCAGCCTTCTAACCAAGTCGGGGGACAGCGGGAAAGGCACGCTGCGCCTCCCCGCTGTCCCCCGAGCTTGTGGGGCTGGCGGTGGGGCTCTCCAGGCTTCAGCGAAAGCCTGCATTCGCCCCATAGGACGCACACACTTTCCCCCTTCATTTTTGGAGGGGAAAAAGTGTGTCCTATAGGGCGAAAAATACGGTAACTCTTTGCCTTGTAATATACTAGTATTTTGACAGATTGATGCACACACACACACACCCTTTAGCTACCCACTGCACTTGACAACAAGTGAGTGGCAAAACTGTATCGCATGTTTAAATCCCAAAATGCTGTTCTTCTAAACTGGTCCTTAGTGCAATCATGTTGAAAACCTTTTTTTTTTTTTTAAAGAAAACCGTTGAGTTGCCCAAGGGTCTGATTCTGCCTGTGCTATAATAGCGTCCAAAGCATGCAAATTAATTCTGTTTCCAGACCTAATGGAGGCAGATTCCCCCTCCTTTTAATGAATTTGGTAAAGCATTTAATTCAAAAAGGGCCGAAATACGGACAGAACGTGAAGTATGTGTGTGCTCCAGCTCTTTGAAATTTGTTTCAGTCCTGGGGAGGGGAGGCATTCCCCAACCCCACCCCCCCAGCCGCAAAAGTTGTTAGCAGAGGTCAGTCCCTGCTGTCCGTAATTTGCACAGAAGCCCGAGTTCGCTGTCTTTCCCACTGTTGCTTTTCAGTGCAGGCATTGTATAAGCCTGGTATCCATGGCAACCGGCCAAGAACTTCAAGCTAAGATCTCCTTAGCAAAAGAGAGTCTGTCGCCATGGTTTTGAGGAAAGCATTGAGAAAAGAATACCATAATCCCAGAAGGTTTTGGTAAACTGGTCATTTGAATGCAGTTAACAGTATTTCTTGCTCAGGCAGCCCTCATAGATCCTCAGAGGATAAATGCTTCGTTCCCAGAAAGTCTCCCCCCTCATAAAAGGGGGGGGGGGAAAGAAAGCATTTTAATTGATTACAGATAATTGATGCGACTCACTAAATCACTTGGGAGTAGTCTCACATCGATCATAAGTGGACTTTGTTCCATGGGGAAAAAAATCTGTGGATCCAAGCCAAGTATTTGCCAGTTTTACTTGAGGTCCACTGAGGCCTGTGTGGAAATCCTTCTCCCGCATAATCTCACACCCCCAATTATTGGGAGGACATATGGAGACTCTAGCAGAAGATGGCAGGTAGTGGTTAGTTGGTTAGTTAGTTAGTTAGTTAGTGGCAATTAAGCATCTAGAAAAGTTCTAACCCTGCCATGCCTTATATCCTTCCAGTTCACTACTTCAGTCATTTCTGCCCATTCGTAGCTCACTTCTGGTATTGGGCCCAGGAATGGTGGAAACCTGGCTGGAGCAATCAGCTATCAGGAGGTAAGGCATGAGAGGTGAAAGGTTAATGGCCCCTTTTGCCAGCTCTATCCCCTGCTTTCCATTTGAATAGGGTGGACACATGAATGATGGTTATGTCCAATTTGGCCCACTGAAGATTTGGGTTAAAACTCTGCTAAACTCAGGAAATACACCAAGACTGCAACCACACTCATTTTTTGCCCTGGTTCAAAGAAAGAGGGAAATTGCTTTTCCCTCTCCTTACATTCTGATTGGCACTAATTTGATCAATGCATGCACACTGAGCAGTAGGGAAAAGAAGACAGACTCATCACATCTTGGGAAGCTGCTTATCAAAAAACAAGTAAGAGAGAAGGAGACTGGGAAGTCCGGAGGTGGCATAGAGTCTGCTACCTCAAGTACTTCCTATTTTAACAAGACAGACAAACCACAAACCACAAGTCACCAAAGGGTAACTGAGGCACAAACCACTCTGACAACTTGGCGAGCTGAATCTTTTTAGTGCCTGAACTTTCTTTTTTGTTGTGGGTTTGCTTTCTGTTCCTCTTTTACTGAAGTCTATGATGGCCTGAGAAGAATGGTAAGGTAGGACAGAGGTTTAGCTTGGTCCTGCTGGTGGACCTTGTTCTTTGAATCTTGCTCATGGTTCTATGTAGAATCCATCTGCCCTTAGTAAGATTGGATGGTGAGACTGGTTTGTTCCCTTATTTTGCCTTTTGACATGGATTTCCTGACAGAATGATTTGGGTGTATCCTAATAACTGACATTTCTGTTTCTGGCACACTTTGTACCACCTGCTGTTTGCTTAAGATAGACCAACTAATGCATTACTTGTAGTTCATTAAAGTGGGCATAAGCAACATTGTGCCCCCCATATGTTTTGGATGACAGCCCCCATAATTCCTGACCATAACTATGCTGGCTGGGGCTGATGAGAGTTATTGTCCAACAAAGTCTGAAGGGCACAATATTGACTATCCTATAGGCACTATTGTTGATGGTGGGAGGCTAAAGTGATAACTAATCTGAAAGACATGGAAGCCCTAGTTTCACTCTAGGATCCCTAAAGACTATCTTGTTAACATTGATCTTATTGAAGGTTTCGCTCTACTATCTATGAGACAACACTTTTCAGATTTTGGAAAAGCCAGTGCTCAATTAAATAAATCTTGTGAAGTTTACAGGTCCAACTTTGTCTCATTATGATGTTTATGCCTCTTCAGTCAAGTAGAGGAAGGGCCCCCAGAGACCAGGTAAATATTCACATTAATGACTGTCTCATGAAAAACAAGAACCAAGGACTGAGGGCTAAATTAGACATCAATAAGATAAAATGCTGTTTTCCTCCTGCACGTACAATTGTCACAATACGGAACAAAAACTTGTACACCATCTGTGAAGAATGCACATTGCTATATGTCTATTTTGTCACAGGTACACATTACTGTGTAAAACCTTGTGTGCAGTTCTTCCTTCCTACAGAGAGCTGCTACCTACTGAGGACAAAAGTCTTGTGTGTAAAGGAGCGCTTGGTTCTGTGTATTTCAAGGCCTTTGTTGAAATGCCATTAAGGGTTAGAGTAGCGTGTGAGCCAGCTTTTGAGAAAGAATACTTGCTCTCACCCTCCTTTCCCTTAAAAGGATAAGTTTTGTGATGTCCTTTTTGGGTTTTTTTTTTACTCATTTGGCATGAATCTTTCACAAACACAAACCCATGGAAAAGTCAAATAGAATTTTGGAGGGAGCCCATTTAAGGGGAGAGAGAAATATCCTCACACGTTTTAAGGTTACAAAGAAGCTTTCTGAAGATTTGGCTACGTCTGTCCTAGGCAATGTATTCCAAAACCCAGCCTTTTCTTTTTCTGGCATCACAGAGCAGACTGTACACCAGCAAGCATCTTCTTCAACTAATTCCCTGGCATGTGCATGATTAGCCTTTAAAGGTGATCAGTCTGAGGGCCAAATTAGGCATTAAATCAGGCTTTGCATTTAACCCACATGGTTGTTGTTGTTGTTTTTTAATGCAGATAATAGCTGGGGGAGAGCTAATAATTATCAGGATAGCAGCCAGTGGGGAAAAGGGATTTTAACCCTTTCGTTTCATGCTGCTTCCCCATAGAAAATCTTTCATCTGGAGGTACTATTTGCATTGGGAGACACTGTCCCCTTGGTGCCAAGACTTAAATCGCACCCTCCCTGCAATCCTGATAATTATCACTGCCTGCCACATGATGCTATTTTGAATCTTACCTCTTGTTTAAATGAACCACATAATTCCTGTTTATTTGGATCCTGGATAAGGGCCTCTGCAGTTGGTCGCAAACCAGTGAGTCTTCACCACTGCAAAATTGGCAGTGTGGTGTGGATACCAAGAACGATAAAAACTGTTGGATGTGACTTGGATTTCCCCCCTTGGCTGCGGTTGTTCCTGATCCTCTGTAGTTATTAGAGCAGGGAGATTCAAAAGCACAATTCTTTGCAGTGAGAACTGGTATGTGACATCAATAGGCTTTGCATCAGCTGATAAATTAGTTTCAGTGGGAGTAGGAAAGGCTTGGAGATAGTGGTTCCGATGAACTGATTCAGCACATCCACTGGCGTGCATAGCTCACATCGCTCCCCCAATAGTTTTGATAGCATAGTGGAAGGATTAGGAGATTAGCGTGGCAATGCCCACCTGCTTGTACTTCGAAGGATCTGTTTATAAACCCACTTTAATGTGCCCTAGCTTAGCTTGGACAATTGTTTACATTTAACCATTAGTAAAAATGATGTTAGTGCTGCTTTTGTTTACAAAACCATCATAGCAGACCCCAGCTATCACCTGTGAATGCTTCCTCCTGATTTTGATCTTCCACTTGTGTCACTGGGACCGAAGTTGTTGTAGTTTTGTTAAAGGAGTCCTAGATAGATGGATCAATGGTTCAACTTGTTGAAGGACTTTTCATATGCAGGAGAGTGACAGTTGCTCTTCCATGTGCAGCCCTACCCAGTAGGAGCAGGCGGCTGGAATGGAAGCAGGCAGAGTTTATGCATGTAGTGTTAGAAGTGTGTACCTGGACTCACATGTGAGCATCCGGCACTCGTATATGTTCATATACATGCTGTTGTGTATTGTAGAATTTGCTGCCTGCTTAGATTGCAACTTTGCTGTCTGAAGCAGCATTTTAATATATTCTGTCACTCCTATTTCATATAATAAACCAAGCTTTCCTTATTCCTCTGTGTGAGAGCTTCCTGTGGGCATAACAAGCACATGTCATTACTCCAGCAAAAGATCCTAAAGCTCTCTCAGTATATGAACATACATGAGTGCTAGCTGCACACATGTGAGTCCAGGTACACACTTTGAAGAGTAATTCAGCAGAGTTCCAAGCTGAAAGCATATGTTGAGCTTTTCATTGTTGTTGTTTAGTCGTTTAGTCATGTCCGACTCTTTGTGACCCCCTGGACCAGAGCACGCCAGGCACTCCTGTCTTCCACTGCCTCCCACAGTTTGATCAAACTCATGCTGGTAGCTTCAAGAACACTGTCCAACCATCTCGTCCTCTATTGTCCCCTTCTCCTTGTGCCCTCCATCTTTCCCAACATCAGGGTCTTTTCCAGGGAGTCTTCTCATGAGGTGGCCAAAGTATTGAAGCCTCAGCTTCAGGATCTGTCCTTCCAGTGAGCACTCAGGGCTGATTTCCTTCAGAATGGATAGGTTTGATCTTCTTGCAGTCCATGGGACTCTCAAGAGTCTCCTCCAGCAACATAATTCAAAAGCATCTATTCTTTGGCAATCAGCCTTCTTTATGGTCCATCTCTCACTTCCATACATCACTACTGGAAAAACCATAGCTTTAACTATACGGACCTTTGTTGGCAAGGTGATGTCTCTGCTAGTTGACCTTAATTAATCCTCATATTTAGTTTCCTATAAAAGAAGATGACATTTCACGTTTGTGACCATGTCTTGGCCTGCACTCACTCTGTGATAGTCAAACCCAGTAATGCAAAAGACCATTTAGAAATGACAACTTTAGTAACTCATGGGAAATTTGAACTGTGTGTTGTTTGGATTTCAAACCCTAAAGCATGTATTTATCAGGTTTGCAAGAAATGATAAGGACTTGAAAATTACTTCAGAAAAAAAAAGGAAAGCAAAGGACTTCAGTACAAAGACCTTGGGCCAAACATATGGTTGCTACCCAACGTGGCATCTTTAAAGAAACAAAACAAACTGTTTCCATCTTTATGTTGCATCTTCAACAGATGCTGCTAGAGGCTGATTACCTCTTATCATTTAACCTGGGGTGAAAATGCCTTTAGTTCTCTGGTAGTAATTAAGGATAAAAGTTTTTGAAGTCGTTCTGTAATATTGTCTCTTTCTTCCTACTCTGTTAAATTTTCTGTTCTCCCTGCCTGCACACCCTGTCCCCCGCCTCTCACCGGAAAGAGTTCCTTAATAGTAAATATACTCCGGCATTGAAGTTTGGAAAGCTATTATGGGAACCATAGACCTGCTAGCAGACTCTCCAGCTGCCAAGGCCTGTGAGTATTATACTGTACTGCAGGGTTCAGTCACAGGATATGCTGAATTGGAAAGAGATGGCAAACAAAGAAGCTTTTCAGTGGCAAAGTTGAGGTTTGGCTTTGCTCAAGAGCAGTTTTGGGTCGAAGAGGCATCCGGAGCTCTGGGAGAGGAGCAGAAATATATTGGACAGATGCAATGAAGTAGTACTCAGAACAGCATGGTTTTGTTTGAAAGCTTACAGAATCAGCTTTAGGGGTTTTCCTCTCTATTCTTTTTACAGTTTAGCTTCTCTCTTCTCTGCTTTTTGGTGCAGATCCTTCCTTCTTCCAAACACATGCTAGTTTTCTATAAAAAATTTGTTGACTCATTCCATTCTGGGCACATTTCAGCAAACGTTAGACATGATTAACTTACACAGAAATAGTTGGCTTTAGGTTACTCTTGACTAAGCCCCATTCTGTTGATTGCAGAGGGACAGGCTAAGGTCTGCTGCATCATGGCAAATGCATTTGCCTTTCTTTTCAACCTGAATCCAGGTAGCAGAACTTGGAAGCACGGTGGATGTAAGCAGGGAGGGAGAAGTTTAATTGTGTTGGGGAGGAGCAAGTAACTAAATTGCAATAAATGATTATGGAGGGAAAGCACCACTCTGTTTTGTTTTTTTGTTTGGGTAGGGATGGGGAAACTATTGCCCTCCAGATGTTATTGGACTCTCATCCCCAGCTAACATGGGCAGTGGTTGGGGTGTTAGCAGTTGTGTCCAGCAACATAAATTCCTCATCCCTAATTTGGGTATACAGTAGTTATATTATTCTAAAGTTCCGTACTCATGGCAAAATGGTTTGTAGAGCATGCAACATAACATATATCTGATCTACTGTATCTGGTACCCTCCAGATGTTTGGGAATGGCTGAGGCTGATGGTACTTACAGTGCAAAACATTTGAAGGACACCAGATAAGCAAAATTTGCCAGAAATTCATATTATGGCACTTGGCATTACATGAGCTTAACAATTTTACTTGTAGAGATTAGCAAGACTACAATTCAGAGAAAACTGCAAGCTATCAAAAAAAGAAAAGGGAAAAAAAAAGCCAGCAATAAAATGCCAGGCTCATATTTCCCTATTTCTTCCTAGTTTATTTTAGCAAATCTTAATGGTGAACAAAACCCTTTTAAGACTGGTTAAGACTTGCTTCTTTTCAAGCACGCGGAAATGTTAATTTAAATCAAAAGAGAAAAGACGGAAGGGTGTATTGCTCTGAAGGTGTTATGAGGTCAACAAACCATGCAGTGCAAGCTGTTTCTGCGATTTTAATTTATTTTAGAATGTGCAGCTTTAACTGCCCTCCTCCTGGAGCATCTGAGGAATGAAATGAACAAACATACAGATATTAAGTGTTATCTTTGGCAGAAATTTTAAAGTTCTGTAAAGATTTGTTCTTTGTTCAGTCTGAATGCTTCTGAAGGTATTTATATTTATTCACAATTCTGTGTAGCATTCTGAGTTAGAAAGGGGCCAGGCATATGTCATCCCAACCATCTTGCCAAGACTTTTAGAACTGTAGTGTTGGAAGGGGTCCCGAGGGTCGTCTAGTCCACCCCCCCAGCAGTTCAAAAATCCTGCCCACATTTTCACAGATGTTTCACCTGAACAGGACCCTGAATTAACATGTTTACTAGAAACCCAGGACTGCACTGCTGTTCACTCTCTGGGACCTCATCATATATTCCACTCTAGCTATAGCTGCAACTAGGACAGGAGGCACCCATGGGTGTAGGGCACCCGCAGAGGCCTTCCAGGACATGGTCCCCACACTCTGCTGAATTAGGTTAAAAAGAAGCGTTGTACTGTAACCAATAGAATGGATAGCAGTGTGTGCTTGACTGATGTGTGTGCGTGCGCGCATGTAGTGCCCATGACAGCTTCTCCAGTTTGCACATGGGCTCTAAAAGACTGCTGACCCCTACACTAGGATAAAAGCTGTAAAGTGATGTTACATTGTTTGGAAGTCCCCTGCTGAGCAACTGGCTTCTTTTTCTTTTTCTTCTTTTTCTTCTTGCTGCTGGATAGATGCTGACAGGTTGTGCAATTTCACTTAGTCATGTGTATTTTGAGTCCACTGGATAAAGGAAAAACGAACTCGATATGAATTTTTGTTCTGTCTTAATGTTGGAAAAGCAGTTAGAGGTGAATCATAGAATTGTAGAGTCGGGTCCTGAGAGTCATCTATTCCAACCCCCAGCAATGCAGGAAGCTGATGCCCTGTGCACAGTTTAAAATGTTTTTGTATCAGGAGATGGCCTAGCTCCCCTCACCCCTTATTTTCAGCTTCTGTTGATGCTAAAGATGGGGAAAGGAACCTTTCTCAGACTCAGGGCTGCATTTCCCTAGTGTGGAGCTTTCCAGGGGCCACGTACCAGTGGTGCGTGGATCCAGAGGCAGCAAAAGTGGGTGGAGCAACAGATGTGGCTCTTTCATCTTTGTGCAATAGGCTGCCATTCAGCCACACAGAAGTCAGAGGTTTCAGAACATGCCACCACATACCTCTCCGTCCACCCATTCCAGGTAGGCAAAAGCGCTCAAGGATGGAACAGAGCAAGACAGGCGAATGGTGCAGCCTGGGGAGGCAAGCAGCATGGCTTAGTCTGATTAAAGGTAAAGGTAAAGGGACCCCTGACTGTTAGGTCAAGTCATGGCCGACTTTAGGGTTGTGGTGCTCATCTCGCTTTATTGGCCAAGGGAGCCAGCGTACAGCTTCTGGGTCATGTGGCCAGCATGACTAAGCCACTTCTGGTGAACCAGAGCAGTGCACGGAAATGCTGTTTACCTTCCCGCTGGAGCGGTACCTATTTATCTACTTGCACTTTGACGTGCTTTCGAACTGCTAGGTTGGCAGGACCAGGGACTGAGCAACGGGAGCTCACCTCGTCATGGGGATTTGAACCACCGAGCTTCTGATCGGCAAGTCCTAGGCTCTGTGGTTTAACCCACAGCGCCACCCGCATCCCTTAGTCTGATTGGAGAGGCTTAAAAGGCCACATTCAGCCCCCTGGCCTGTGGTTCTCCACCCTGTTCTAAAGATCATTTAGATCCTCATAATATTGGACTATAGTTTAGCGCTCTGACAAAACCAGAGTGTCAGACATGAAAGACTATAAGTTTTTAATGTTTTACTGAGTGTCTTTGGTCAGGATCGTCATTCTTATCCTCTACTAGAAACAGAAGTTCATAAGACGGGAAGGCTATAACAAATCACAAACGGAATAAAGACGATAATTTCCTTGACTATTTTAATAATTATCTGTCTTATAAAAAAAAAAGAGTAGTGACCTCCATGCAAGTGGTTTGCCCTGCTATATACATAGGCAATCTTTCTTCGCTTCCTTGACTGCAGAACATCTGCAAGATTGTTTGAATTGTTTGCTTAATGTTAGGGCTAGCAAACATTCTAGCCCATGCTGAGCTTCCATTGATCTATCTAATGGCACCCCCTCCAGCTCCACTGGGAGTCCAAGGTCCTGTCTATAGCAACAGTAATCTGTAGGGAGATACACGTTATCACGCGTCCATTCTCTTGCTCCCTATCTCCCATGGTATTTTTGTTTACAGGCTTCAAGAATAGTCTGCCTCTCTTAGCTCCGAGGCTGGGCCAGTTCCAAGATAGCAGTGGAACTATTCACAAACCAGGCTGATTGGAGTACTGCGGAAGGACAATGGCAGTGTGACCTGTCAGCACGCAGTTCTCATGACTTACAGCTCACAAGCCAGATAACAGATTTCCTTGCTGTATTTCTCTTTCATCATTGGGTTGATGATCCCTGTTGAAGTGGTTGGTAAATGCAGCATATGGATTGATACGGGTTATCAGAAGAATGCATTTGATGTAGGTCAGCTGCAGAAATACTATACACTTGTTCAGAGAGCATCAGCTCTGATAAGGAAGAAGATCCTTTGACTTCCCTCTAGGTGGAAACTCTCCTAGAAAATGCACAATTCAGACAGCATAAAAAATAATGGACAGATTTGTGCAGGGTTGGCTTTGGCTTTGAAATTTATACTTTCCCACTCAAATATTTCAAGGATTCATATATTGTGTATTATGAAGATGGAAAGGTCAGGGCAGAATCCTTTGTTTCAGATTCCTCCATCGATAACAGCTACATTTACTGTTGTAGATATTTTTCTAGGCCATCAACACAGTGTATATATAGTAGATATGCTACATTATTAATAAAATGCTGTACGAGTCTTGGGTCACTCAACCTCATTACATCCCTCTAAAGAAAGGCATTTATATTCCTGTTTTGCCAATGATATGTTGAAACTCACTTTTAGGGACTTTCCCAAGCCACATTACCCCTTTACTTCTTTTTGGATGTACAGAGAGAAGTTCAGTGTGTACACCTAAAAATGTAAAACCTGTGTGCATCAGAAAGGCATTTACAAATGTATGTATCATGCATGGGGGTTGCTTTATGATTTAAATAATATTTTGCATTTCTACCCCCATCATTCAGCCCAGACACTGAGATCCAGTTCTGAGGGTGGTTCCCTCATTGCAAGAAGTGAGGTAACAGGGAATCAGGCAGAGGGCCTTCTTGGTAGTGGTGCCCACCCTGTGGAACACCCTCCTGTCAAGTGTGAAGAAAATAAACAACAATCTGACTTTTAGAAGACATCTGAAAGCAGCCATGTTTAGGGAAGTTTTTAATATTTGATGTTTTATGTGTTTTTAAAATTCTGTTGAGAGCCACCCAGAGTGGCTGGGGCAACCCTGTGAGATGGGCGACATATAAAATTATTATCATCGTCATCATTATTAAACTGTGATTTTTATAATCTGCTATGGAGCCACTCTGTGAAAGGCAGGCTATAAGTACAAATAAATAAGTAAGGTAAGTAAATAAATAAATAAGGCATTGGATGAGACCTAGATCTTCTTAGCTTTAGCAAGGTAGCTGCATCATGTGCCCTTAGATCATGCTTTCTCTCAGTAGAAATCTATGCTTGCTATTATATAATGGTGCAAAGGAGTCTTGTGTTTGTGAACAGAGATTTGAACCTAGCTCTAAATATAGCACTCCCTCCACTTTCTATAATGGGGAAGAACATGTTCAGCATATCAGCATTTAACTGTTCTTAAATCTGGGATTTCTGATGGATTTGTCAAGTATGTTCTTCAGAGGGTCCTGTGTTTCAGCTCTTGCCCATTCTGCCAACCAGCCCCTCACTAGTGTCTGTGTCCCCTTCCCAGTTATAGTCTCACCATCCACAGGGCTTTATCAGTGCTCTTTCTGTGATCCACTGACTATCAGCTGATTCCTGGTGCTTTAGAACGGCTTGCAGCTGCAGTATCCTCCAATATCACTGTTCCGCCTCTGAGGCTTGTATGTCCTGCTTTGGTGTTGCAAAGCATATTTTTCCCAGTGTCGGAAACTCATAGCTCCATAATGAATTAATTCCCACAGTATCCCACATGTCACAATTTGCCTGAAGCCTCAAACTGAAAACCCTTCTGGGGATGGGGGAGACCATCTGCCTTCTCAGTGGGGGAGGTGCAATTAACACTGGGAAATGGAGGATGAATTAAAGAAACAATTGGATTAACAAACACACAAGTTTGGTTTGGGAAGGGGGGGAAATATTGTTTGAACTTGTGAGAAAACAAAGCCGAGTAGAGAATAATACAACTTCCTGTGTTCTTGAAGTCTATGTGGTTGAGCCTGGAAGCATAGGGTTTCAATATGGTATTTCATTGAAGTGGTCACTAACTTAGGTAACTTAAAAAATGGATTACAGAAAACCAGAGAAGATAGGCCTATCAATGGCTGTTGGTCATGTTCAGAGGGAGTGCGCCATTGAATACAGCTGGTGGAGAATAAAAGCCAGGAAGGGCTATTGCACACCAACATAAGAAACTGCATTATACCACTGGATCATCCAGCTCAGTCTTGTGTACACTGGCAGCAGATTTCCAGGGTTTCAGGCAGGGATCTTCTCCCAGTCCTAACTGGAGATGCCAGTGACTGAACCTTCTGGGACCTTTTGTAGGCTAAGCAGATGGTCTACCCCTGAGCTAGGACTCTTCTCATTTCTTTGCCATCATGTCTGGTTTAGTGGCTTTTCCAGACCCATTTGGAAATCAGGGTGCTTGGTTAGACAGATCTTTAGTTGGATCTAGTAGGGCTTTTCTTATGTTCTTAGTCCATAGAGAACAAATGTAGCAATTGTCATCCTTCCGATTAGTCATTTCATTGGGATTTACCATAGATTGATCGTATCCAAAGATATATCACACTGAAGCAAAAAAAATTGCTTACTTGGGTGTCTCAAAATCTCAGATGGTGTAGTATATATCCCTGTGGAGGACTAGGAATTCATATATATATATATATATATATATATATATATATATATATGGTGTTAGGCAGGCTGCTTTCATAAATGTCAAAACTTATCTACCTGTGAATCTATGAGCAGCTGCGTTCATTGGTGTTCCCTTTGAAGATTGGAATCTGGCAGCAGATTCTACGCTTAATTACGAGCTACCCATGGAAAGACATAGGCAGCTAATGAACTTCTGCCAGAGAGAGAGAGAGAGAGAGAGACCCCTGCTCAGTTTATGAAGTTTGACAGGCTTAAAAAAAAAAAAAGGAAGCATATTGAAGAGTGACAAAAAGCTCACTTTGGCAGGATTTAAAAAGGGACTAGTTTCCTGGGTTGCACTCGGAGAACTAAATATGCATGTGTATATTCTGAAGTAAAGCAACAGCGGCGGACCTTGGTGTCTCAAATATCAGCGACACCCTGTGCGACACTAAAATTCAGCGGCAGCGTCCTCGCCCCCCTCACCTTCCATTCAATAACTTACTTGTGGCTCCCCTGCGGTGCTCCTGAGACTCTCTGGAACTTCCCCTAAATCCGCCTCTGCAAAACAGCTTTTAAGCTTAGCTAGGGAGTGGGGAAGTGGAAATAGATGACCTCTCGTCTATCCATCCATCCATCTCTTGGTCTGTCGATCTGTTGGTCTGTCTGTCGGTCTCTTTCTCTCTCTCACACACATGCACATGTATATCTTAGGATGCTCTGTGTCTTGGAAGAGAGGGCTGCTGAAGCTTTCAGATCAGCATCAGTTGAACCAATTTATTCAGTGATGTGGCAAACGTTCTTTGATTAAGCTCTTGGGGCTCTTGTTGTAAAGTTATTTACAGTTCTTGTTCTATATTGGATAGTTTTATAATGTTGGCAATGTTATAAGGTAGGCCGTGAGAAATTTCAGAATGTTACTGCCTGCGAAAGGGATCACACACGTACTTTAATGAACCCTGAGTGCTATATTGTGCACTACCCACTTAAGCCGCTATTTGGGCTCTCCTCGGTGGCATTTGCCCAGTGCTATGTTCCCAGTTCTGATGATTAGATTTCATCTGAGCGCTTCTCCCTTTTCATGTCTATTTTGACAAAGGGAGTTGTTGAGCGAAAACCATTTCCATGAAAAACCTGCGATTTTCAGGCAAACATACCAGCCTACTCTCATGGCAGTACCATGGTGAAGGGGAATAACGTTATTTGGCACCAAGCCCTGAAGAAGGAAAAAAGTGCAGAGAACAGGGGTGCCTTTGTCGAAAACCTACCGCAATAAAGTGCAAAAGTAGGGGGGGTGGGGTGGAAGGAATGAAAGTGAGAAAAAGAGGCTGCTATTCCCTTAGGTTTCTTTAACCTTTTTTCTCCAATTTATTCACACATTGCCTGACAGCAGGGCACTGCATTGTTACAAGAGCTCTGAAAAGGGAAGCTGGGACTTCTCCATTTTTATTTGTGAACGAACACTATACACATTGTGCCCCAAGAGAACAAATGAACTGTAGCTCTGCTACTGCCTGCTCCATTGAGGATTTATTAATAGGGTCCAGATTGGAACTGCATCTCTGAAAAGCACATACAAGGAATAGCAAGGAATAGTTACCGGAGACTCCGTGAAACCTTTATTTAGTGACAATTCAAGGCTTGTAAACGTTTCCCTGCCCTGGGTTACAAGTACGACAACAGGATGGGATGAGCCTGCCTTAAGAGGCATTACTGTAGAGACTCAGACATGGAAACTCAACAGACAAGAGACTGGCTTTCTACCTAATTGCTTTCAGGCGACTTCCACTCTTCTCAAGATGTGAACCATGAGGAAACATTCTTCAATATTCTGGTATCTTTGTGGGGAGGGCAGCTTAGGGAAAGTCTTTGGAAGCTCTAGGAATTTGCAAGGCATAAAAAGTTACTGTTGTGAGTTGGGAAAAGGATTAGGGTTAGCATTTTGTGAAAAATAAATAAAAAAATGTGCAGCCTCTGTTCCTAAGCCCCAAAATGAAATAGCCTGTCTAAGAGGAAATGATCTTTTAAGCATCTTTTGTCTTGATCCAACAAGCAGATGTATGTGTACATAGAAGAAAAACTCGTGCATTTTAGGTATGGATTCAGGTGTCATTTGGATGTTCATCTGAGCCCCCTGAGTTGGCAAGATGCATCTTTTGTTGCTATGGGGATGTACAGTGCACACAACTAACCACAGCTGCTAGTTGTTCTTCATGAGAGCTGGATTGGGGTTTCTATTTGGATTCTTAGGGTTAAGACTTTGTTGGAAGCTAATGAAAAAGCAAGTGACTCCTGGGTGGTAGTGGAATCTGGGTAGCTGTGGGGGAAACAACATTTCATTGGGGGTAGCCAGCATGGTGCCCTTTAGATCTTGTTGGACTGCAACTTCCATCATCTCTCCTGGTTGGCCATGCTGGCTGGGTTGATGGGAGTTGCCCATTGGCTTCCCCAATTTACCTCAACAAGTTTCGAACTATTCATAGCTAACATGGAGAACAGTGAAAAATTGTGGCTTTACTGGTAGGATAATTACAAAATCAAGAAAGAAATCCCCTCGCCTTAGAATGGAAATAAATGTAGGATCCTTCATGCTTCTTTTTTAAAAAAGGAGCCTGGATTTAACATGCCCAGCCATATTGCTGCTTTGGACCCATACCCCATCTGTTCTAGTGTATGAAGACACACACACTCTCTCTCTCTCAATATATAAGCACCACAATTTTCTTAGAATGTCAAGAATTGAAACTGTAGCGTGCATGTTAATAAAGAGTGCATAAATAGGGACTTAATGTCCTATCTTGAGAACATTTCACTTACTTAGTAGTCCACTTTGCTTGCCCAAACAGAACAGCCCCCCCCCAAAAAAAAACAGTAGGAAGGAAAACCATAAGAAGAAGTTGATTTTGTTAACACCATAGAGCAAATAAGGCTCAGGTACTCCCACGGTCCTTATTCTTGCTGCAAATTACATGTCAGTCAAACATCTGCAGTGAGTACTTGGAGTGAAAAAATCTGGAATGTTGCTTAAGCCAACCAAAATAATATTTTTGTAACAAAAGACCATTGGTTCAGATTTCTGCTAGATACCCCTGATCAGAGCTGAGACTCTCATTTTAAATTCCTAGGCTGCAGCATCATATTTTAAGAGCCAAATCTGCAAAAATATCAAACTGTGAAGGTACAAATGGTAAGTTTATTGTGATGGTTTTAGGAGCCCAGACAGTCAACCAACTAAGACTTTTTCAGCCTTAGCTGTACTCAGTGCAATAAGTTTGGTAGCTATTTTCTCATGACACACACCAGTTGCTGATGTATGTGAATTCATAAAGGCCAGTGTAGTTTTCCACAGAACTTGTTTGTTTCATAGAAGGTTATGGACAGTGCTATTTTTCTATAAAAAGAGGTACCGGAACTCACTATGAATGCCTCCCTCGTTCTCTTAGAATGGCAGGTGCCCACCTGAGAGGTGCCAGAACCGAGTTCCGTTGAGTTCTAGCTCAACTCTAGGGTGAATGGTCAGTACATACTGAGCACTGGTTAGAATCTAGCATGAAGTGCTGCTGAGTTGCAGGAAAATTGCATGGTGATAATCACCTTTATTAATAGTGATGGTTCACAAAATACAGTAGTTGACAACACATAGACATACTGGCTTTGGTAAGCCAGTAGCCACATGTAGTGTGATAAAAATCCATTGTGTCAATTTAGTCCACAATGGATAGCACTGAATCTCTTGATGCATTGTAATTCAATGGTTTTACATTGCCAGCTTCCCTTTGAAGTTCCTTTGTTCACAGATAGACACCATAAGGTCAGTCAAGGAGTTCCCAGTGCCAAGTTGTCTCTTCTTTTATTAGTGGCCACTGTTAATAGGGTACTTATTTCCATCTGTACTTCTCTGAATTTCCTTTCCTTTTGACCTCACGATTTACAGTATTTTGGTCCCTTCCATCTCTACAGTTCTATGATTTTATACCAAGGTGTGACAAAATTGTTCCTTGTTTTACTAAACATGTACACACAACCCCCCCTCCCAAGAATTTCTGTTTGATTCCAATCTTGTCTATATGCAAAGTTGAGCACAGTGCAGAATGGTTTCAGAGGTTTGTTCCCTTTGTTTCTCAACCCAAATTGAGAGCATTACCTTGGGTATGTTTGCACAAGCAAGAACTCTGTGTGATTTTAACCACCAGCATTGCATACTGGTTGCAGAGCACTCAATGCTTGCTTTAAATGATGAGTTGTACTCACATCTGCCCTTCTGTACAGTCAGTTGCCTCACGGTAAAAACAGAGATAATGCAAAAGTATTTTTTCCTCAGTGGAATACCCTTTCTTCTGTTTAACTCATTGTCTTCCATTTGTAAAACAAAGCAATGTATGAATTATATGCTGGGCACATCTACCCCAACTCTGCCCTGGGGTCACTCAGAGGGTGTGTAAATATTGGACTCCTCTCCACCAAATGGGCCCCTTTAGGATACAAGCCCTGCTTTCCCCAGAAATGGCATAAAGATTGCTCCCTTAGTTAACAAAGCTTAGAGACCACACAACAGAGTGGTAGCAGTTACTGAAAATTAGCTGAGGTGGTTTTGCTGGGCTGTATTTCTTTCTGACTTAATATGTCTACAAGGGGCTGAAGAGGCTGGTTCTTCAATGCTCCATTCCAAAACAAAAAGAAGAAACTTGAAAGTGGGAGAGGCAACTGTGTTTAATTTAGTGCAAAGGTGAAACTTCAGCTGGGAAGATCAGAGCTGCCTGTTTGGGTCACCACAGTAACATATCCCACATGACTTTATCAATGGGTGGCCAATGAAAGCTTATCCTGTCTTATATCCTCCACGCTCCCCAAATCTGCCCAACTCTTAGGTTTTCAAAGGTTCAATGTTTCAAAGCATTGAATTCAGCACAAGAGGCCTTTGATTTTCTATCAATTGCAAGCTGCTCAGTCAATGCCCCCCCCCACCTTTTAAATCACCTCCTGTGTCTCTGAGGTTGTTAGGTTTCCTAGGAGGTAAAGAAAAATTAATTGATTGTTGAGGAAGATGTTAATAAAACAATGTTGCTTCTTTTACATTTAACGTTCAAAGCCTGCCAAGTTCCAGCGCAGCTGCAGTATCCCTTATTAAAATGTAAAGCAGAATGCAGTGTCAGCTCTCCACTGAAGCAGCTTTGCATAGGACACCAGCCGCGAGGAGTCAGAAAGTCATTTTGAATTCCTCCAAAGAAAAGCGGCATCCTTTTCCTTTTCCTTCCCTTCCTCCTCCAGTGTATGCTGCAGCAAAAGCAGCTCCTACAGGGCCTAGCTGAACTCCTTAGTGCCCACAACCTGTGTAGTCCAGCTACTTATTAATTGATTCATTGGAAATGCTTCTAAACCAGCGTTCACCAACCTGGCGATTTCCAGATATTTTGGACTGCAGCTATTTTGGACAGCATATCTGTGCTTGCTAGAGCTAGCAAGAGTGTGTGGAGCACGTCTGGAGGACATCAGGTTGGTGAAGACTGCTTCAGACTGCCCTTCATCCAGATAAAGAGAAATAAAACACTCAACTCCCATATAATACAATTAAGGATAAAACAGCATCATTGTCATATTTATATATACACACACACATACATACACACAGTATATGTAAATATATATAGATATGAGTGAGTTTTTAAAAAGCAAGAGGAACAGGCAGGATGCTCCTCAGTTTTCAGGCTTTGGAGTTTAAAACATCTGGGCAAATCAGTTTTGACCTGGCACTGAAGCGAAAAGCCATTTCTATCGTTTGTTTACTTATTTAAAGCATTTTGTACCTGCTCTTCATTGCAAATGTAATTCTAAAGTTACAGATTAAAGCAAATCTGGACACGTCATTCAAGTACTAAAGAAGAGTCAGATAGTTAAAAACAGCCAAATGCAGCAGGTACCACTTCCTTTCACACTGCCTTACTATAACAGGAAAGCCTTCCTACAACCCTTATTCAAGATGCTGCAGAATCTGGCTCTCCAATGGCATGCTTTAGTAAGGACTTGAGCAGACACTTTAGAAACACAGAAAGAGGCCAAACTGGAATTGGAGTTACAGGAGTGAATGAAATCATGGGTTTATCAATTGTGGCTATATGGGAGCTTTTTGTCCCAAGGCATTTATCCACTGAATACCCAGAGGATGTCCTGAACTTCTTCTGGTTGGCCACTGTGGCAAGCAAGATACCGGACAGGGGGACTCTGGTCTGGTCCATGGGGCTGCTGATTTGACTTTTGCATGTAAAAGGTCCAGAGTTATCCCAGGTTCCTTGTACCGTTACAGAGGCAAAGGGATACACTGGGAAACTAAGCAAGCATCTCTTCTTAGCTGTATCTTTCATGGAGGAGAAAGGCTGGGAATTATAGGATCCTAAAAGCTCTCCACAGTTGTTAGAAGAGAGGTGTGGCATGTCTGCTCATCCCATGCCCACCACCCACATGTTAGCTGAGCTTGTCTGTGAGGATCCTGCAGGGCTGTAAATCACAAGGGGGTCTTTCAGGTATAAAGCAGGCAGGCACCCCACACTGGTTATGCACCCCAACATTTGAATCTCACCAAACAAGTACAAATGTGTGGAGAATAATGCCCAGAACCGACCTAAAGAGATTAAGTCTCAGAGATAAGCTTCTGAAATGGCTACAGCTGAAAAATCCAGGGTCACATTTCTCCCAAACTCAGATTACTAAACTTTAGCCCAGAGACTGATATTTCAACCACCAAATCCAGCGGGGAACTAGAATGCCCGGGAAATCCATCTTTTCCAATTTTGTTGGAACTTTGTTTTGTTTTTTCCTGTCAAAAACTGACACCATCATTTATACTGAAACACTGTCAAGTCTTGTTGAAGTTTGGTTTCAGCAGTGTTGGCAGGGAGTCTGAGTGAATGATTTTTGCCTGACTAGAACCTGATGTCTCGCTGTACGGCCATAGTAGGTTGTTGCTGGCCTGGGAAACTGATTGAGGTGGGTTATAGTATGAGATGTTGAACGGCCACAGACTGATCTTACACTTCATATTTACCATTTTGGTGTAAATGAAATTAAGGCCTGGAGCCTTTCCTGTAAACAGTCGCGCAGCTAGAGCTATTTCCATTTTGTTGTTCCTTTCCTCCCCTCCTCTCCATCCTTGATTTTCATCTGTGGCATTCCACCCCCCCCCCTTTAAGATTTCTACTAGTATCTTTTGTAAACCCCTTTTCAGGGTGGCCATTGGCACCAGCCCATGCTGGAACCTCAGCGCCAACCGTTTCCAGAAGATGGGGTTTGTGCCAGAAGTTGTGGGTGGTGACACAATTCCTCAAAACAATCTGTGCTCCAAGAGATCTTCCTTGGAAACAAGGCTACCTTAGCAAGGGCTCTGACACCACAGTGCTCATTTTGACGGCAATGTGTGCCCTGGCCTGGACGGTGACCTTGATGAAGCATGGCCTCCAGCCCAGTCCTCAGAGTCTAGGCATGCCGCGGGTTTTGTGAGCAATATCCGTTCGGCTCCTGAGGGTATGTTTATGTTTCTCATATGAAAATAGGGAATCTGAGGTTACTGTTGTGCTGGAAAAATGTCAAGACTCAATTGGCAATATCCCACTAAACCACAAGTTTGCAGGAGAAAAAAACAAAACCCTCACATTTTCAAAACCATGTCTGTATGCTTTTAAAGAAAATATATACAATCTTGGTCAAGTCTTGCTCGTATTATGGTGGTGGCAGTCCTGAAAATAATTGAAATGTGGAAATACTACTCCCATGCTGTTCGGTGAATGAAGGGGGAAACAAATCTTTATTATTCCAGAGTTCACATAATTTATAGGAACGCTATTGTCTTTCCTCCCCCTTAACCCGTGTCCCCTATTTCTTTCTTTTTCTTTTTTAAAAAAGCCCGATTTAGCTCTCAGATATGTTTTATTGTTTGAGGGAACATGTGTTTTACAGACTTGTCATATGAAAACAATTAAAAAGAGGAACTGGAGCAATAACAATAAGTCACGTAACCATGGTATGGTTAATCCCCAAAGTTTGACTATTAAACTGTTGCTTCTAGTGGATGTGAAACCAGATCTCATCATGCAGTGTTAGCTTTTTGGCAGCAATTTTTTATTGGGATGCAAAGGATTTTTATTTTTTTGTTCTTTTCTTTTTTCTAAAAAGGCTATTCATATCATATATTGTTGGCTCAGAAAACAGATTCTGTATCCAAATTGACTCTGCTCCAACAGGTTTTAGGTAGTGGAATGAGGATGGCCTGGATCTGTACAAATATGCTGAATTCTGAGTTGCAAAATCAGAGGTTTCTTGATGCCTCTTGACACATTTATTCACTATTTTATGAACGGGTTGCAAAACACACACTTCTGTGTACAATGAGTCAAGCATTTGACTAGGCTTGTGAAGGCAGCAGTGCATCAGTTCCCTTTATGAAGGTGCCAGTAGTAGAAGATGATCTCACTAACTATGTATGCTGCAGTTCAGCAAAAAGGAAAACGTAAAGTTATATTTTAAAATTTGACTTTTTGCATAGGGTCATTCCACATGCCAATTCATTGTGGACTCAGTGCTGCTTTGTGTAGTGTTCTCATGACACCTTTAGAAAATCAAAATGCCACCCCTATGTCCCCCCTCCCATTTAATTTGCATTTAGTGTTTCAACAGGTTTTTTTTAAAAAAAATTACTTTTCTACATTAATAGTAAATGGGGAAAAAATATGGGGCATCATTTTGATGAGGACAATGTTAAGAGGACACTGTGCAAAACATACATGCATGACAAGCACCAAGACCCCAATTAATAGCTATATGGAAACATATATAGTATTAGGCAGCTAGAAATAATATCAAATCCTTAATTACCTTCGGTTTTCTTCCAGGATTAAAATATTTTCAGTGATTGAAATTTAGCTTTTTTAAAAATAATGATGTGGCTTTGAAATTTGTTACAAGTAATTGAACCAAAGAGCACAGTTGGTTTCATTCTATGTTCCTATTATTGTGCTTTGCCTCTGAGCTCTATCTGCTTTGGGATATTTAGGGTTGTGACATTTTAAACAAGCTGAATCAGAGAATCTTGTGAATTTGACTGATTTTAAATGCATAAGTCTTTTTCTTTTGGGGGAGGGGAGGTGGCTAAAGTATAGTTCAGTGTTGAATAAGTTTATGCAAACCCCCCACCCCTAGTATCTGTATGGGATTTCCCAGTGCAAGTCCCAATAAATAGTATTTCCCAGTGTGCCATAATCATGACTACTAAGGTCCTTGTTTAATTCTTACTTGTGTTTCTGACCACACTCTTTTTCTTTTGTTCCCCTTCCTTTTCTCCCTCTAGCTGGCCTGCCATTTCTGATAATCGAAACAAGCACAATCCCACCCTATAAGCGGGGATTTTACTGTAATGATGAAAGCATTCGCTACCCTCTGAAAAGTGGAGAGACCATCAACGATGCTGTCCTTTGTGCTGCAGGCATTCTTATAGCCATACTTGCTGTAAGTAGGACAAAACGACTGCAGTTTTATTTCAGCTCCCTGTACTATAAAAATAAACACCCAGTACCAAACAACATGCCTATTTTTTTCTGTTCTGTTTTTGTCTTATTGATTTTTCATAAATAAAAGTTAGGATGTTGGTTAGTCAACATTAGTGGTTCTAAATACTTTGTTACTGAAAAACGTTGATGTCTTTATGGAATTAACCCAAACCAGAACGTACCTTGAGTGGCAGCTCTTAAACTGAAAACTTCAAACAACTTATTATGGAATAGTTCCCTAAACCCACTGCAGCGGGGACCTGCCTTTTGTTTGTTACCCCATCAGGGTCATGTGCGCTGCTGATAATACAGCATTGACAAGGATAAACTTTTGAAGGGAGGGGCTTGTGGATTCACTGGCTTTGACAAAACAGCTTTCAGTATAGCCACCACTCAAATCACACTGCAGACCAAATTAATTTGTATATGAGTTGATTCAAGAAGCTATGATATCCAGTGATAGAAATTAGCCAGGTGCCAGGTGCATTTTGTGACTGGCACAAGTCCAATTGCAAGCACATGGAGATCTCTGGATGCTAGTTTGGCGACTGACATCTTCATTTGGCTGGGCCCTCCAGCTTTCTTAAGCAGGTAAGCAGAAGAGCTCCTTTATTGTATTTATATCCCAGCCTACAGGGTACAACTCCTCCTCAGTTAATCTGTACAACAGCCCTGTGAGGTAGGTTAAGAGGCTGTGACTGACTCCAAGGTCACTCCAAGGTCATGACTGAGTGGGGGATTTGAACCCAGGTCCTAGTCCAGCACTCTAACCACCCCACCACATTGGCTTCCTAGAGTCCTTCTGCTATGGGGCAGCTCTATAAATTATGTAAATAAATACAGGGAAAGCAAAATGTCGCTTAAAGAAGGGTATGAAATATTTTCCTGGAAGCTTGAATTTGTTTTATACTGGATTGGTTGTTTTTTTGTTTTGTTTTTTTGATGTTTCAATGTGTTGTAAACCGCTTGGAGATTTATTCTTTAAAATGTAAAGTGGTGTAGAAATGAGATAATAATAAGAACCACAAGAATAGTAACAAACACCATTGCTGGGGGGAGAATGGCGCCGAGACATACCATTGTGGCGACCATAACCCAGATTTAAGGTGCCATTTGGCAATTAGCTTATATATCTGAGTTTCTAACACTGCACCCATCACATGCTTATCATGGTGTGAGTGGGGAGGCTGTGTTTGCTCCCACTACAGTGGTGCCCCGCAAGACGAATGCCTCGCAAGACGGAAAACCCGCTAGACGAAAGGGTTTTCCGTTTTTCGATGCGCTTCGCAGGACGAATTTCCCTATGGGCTTGCTTCGCAAGACAAAAATGTCTTGTGAGTCTTGAGATTTTTTTTCGCTCCCCCCCTTTTTCTAAGCCGCTAAGCCGCTAATAGCCTTTTAGCAGCTAATCCGCTAATCCGCTAAGCCTTTAATAGCCGCTAAACCGCTAATAGCGCTAAGCCGCTAATAGGGTTGCTTCGCAAGACGAAAAAACCGCTAGATGAAGAGACTCACGGAATGGATTAATTTCGTCTTGCGAGGCACCACTGTACTGCCTTGGCCATGACCCTGGTGGTTTGGCCTTGCTGCTGCCTATGCATTGCTCTGAAAGTTTGAAGCAGGCAGCCTGCTTATATGCGTAGGCCCTGTGCGTAATTTAGAATGCCTGAATGATCAGGATGGTAAATTGTGTGAAGAGCCTATTCATATACACCAGGTGCCATAGTTCAGGCAGTGTGAATGGCAACAAGGCTGCGCCAGGCAGTTAGAAATGCAGGGATGAGGCCACTGGGGGCCTAACCTTCTCTCCCAGTTCCTAAAATTAACTGTGTGGGCCATAATATCTGAAGAGGGCTCTTCAGCACAGATGTTGTGAACTACAGCTCCCTTCAGCGCCAGACAGCAGGACCAATGGTCAGGGACGGCCAGAGTTGTGGCGTGCAACATCTGGAGAACACAACAGTTGTTAGGCAGTCTCTACTGTATGAAGAGCATGATTAGTTATTTAATCCAGAAGTACGCTAGGAACAAACTCCGAATTGGGGACAAAACGTTCCTTCCAAAACCATACAAGTAAGCCAAATCCCATAAATTTCATTGAACAACCAATGTAGGAGACATTTTCCAGCTCAGCAACTACGTGCTTGTTCGGCAAAAATTTAGCGTCTTGAAGGATTTGGTGTACATTGTCTGCATTCTGGTACGCTTTGTGGTATTTACATATCCCGTATTTCATGTTGGGTTGTGAAGTATGTTCTGCTTTGCAGCCAGCCACTGACTGCCTGGAAATGTTTTGCAGACAGTATTAGGTTCTGATATCTACTAAGGAGGCAGATTTTGAAAGGAAATTTGAAACTTGGGAGGCCGAAGGGAAGGGGCAATGTCTGTGTTCCCAGTATCCTTTGCATTAAGATAGATAATTCTGTTTGCATGTTCGTTTCTTTTGGATCTCTGAAACATTTTCTCATTATTGAAAAAGATGCTGCTTCATGGAGAGGGGGCAGCTGGTTATTTCTTTGTCAGTAAATGGAGGCATATTCTCAGCCCAGGCTTATGAATGGAGGTTGCTCATATGATTGCATTGATGACCACTTTACGAACTGAGTAGTTCAGTTCAAATATGATGCCAAACTATGATTTGGTGCTAAGAAAACAGATCTAGAGGAACCTTATGTTTGTGTGTTGGGCTGAAAACTGTGGTTTGTTGTTACCTCCAGCCTGACAAACTCTCGTTTGTATTTTCTCTACAAACGAGGAATAAACCCTGGTTTGTATGGCAAGTTGAAGCTATGATATGGTTGTATTGGGGATGTTATGGTTTGTTGAAAACAGGAAGTAACGAGGGAAGAGGAAGAGAGGGAGCAGCTTAAATCTGAGGTTTATTCTTGCACTAAACCATGGTTTGGTACTACATTTGAAATTAGGCAAAGGGAAGATGGGTTGTACTTCTAAGTAAACCAAGAGTTTGCACATAGTTTCCATGAAGGTCTAAATTACAGTTGGCTCAGGGAATGTAAGAGTGTTCCTGCCCCACAACACCTGCATTGGTGACCATTCTGTGTTGAGGGGTGAGGTAAGAAATGGAATTGAAAACTTGTTCAGCTGAATGTGACTGGGAGCCCTGAAGCATGCAACTCAGACCTTATTGCTGAAAGCAGGAACCTCAGGGGTAGAATGGGGGCAGGGGACTGGCACATGCAAGGATGTTGGGGAAGGGAAGGCTGGCACATGTTCCTCCTGCACACTATCTCATGATTGGGATTTCCTTTTTATGCCGGAAATTATTATAACAATCTTATAGAATTATTGTTATTTGCAGAATAATTATTTTAAACAGGTCTCAGATTTGTTAGCATCTAGAGAGGAGACCGTTCTTGAGCTTCCCAAATGAAGAGTGGGAATAATAATAAATGCCAGCAAGTATTTCAGTTGACAACTTCTCTTGTTTGAACATGGCCTACTCCTGCCAGTTGTAGGTTCTGTCCTTCAGGACTTTGAGGACATTCTTCAAAATGCTAAGTTGTATAGCGGGCTAAGACCATACGTAAGGCCCGGCGTGTTAAGAAAAGTAATTTCATCAGTCACATAATTTTAACATGCAGATCACATATACTTTTGATTGTGATTTTTAGCCTAGCCCCACTCATTTCTCCCTGTCTACAAGCCAAGTTACTGCTGCTTCAAGTGATGTAAAATAAAATAAAAACACAATGACAGAGGGCAATCTATAGCAAAACCCTTGTTTGTAGCGTCCAAGAGTTTTGTGTGCTTGGGTTGGCCAACCATTGTGTTAGGTCTGCCCAACCTTTATGTGACTCCGCAACCCCCACACCCATTCTAGGTTTCTTTGCTTCATGGCTATTAAAACTTCCTCCTGCCATTATTTGTCAACAAAGTCTGTTCCAACTAAGTGCTCTGTCAACTAAATAGCCCCAATAACCAGTTATTTTTGCATTCAAAGAGAAAATGAATAAACCTATAAACAAGAAGGAATTTTATCCTGCAGGGGAACTTTCCCATTATAGAAAGGCCATAAATGAAAGTGAAAAAGCTTTTCATTTCCATGTTATTGCCTAACATACCGTCATTTGGGCTCCTTGCAGAATCTGCTTCTGATCAGGAGCAAGCCAGTGGTGTGTATTATTAGTGCTGAAAATGTGGCTGGAAACATAATCAGCTGACTATATAATCCGTCAACTTTCTAACACAAAATGGCAGGCTAATTAAAAACTGGGGGTGGGGGAGAGAGAAAGAAAACCCCGGCCACTCTGACGTAAAATAGCTGATTCTCTGCCATATTTGCAGCTTTCCCAACAAAAGCAACTGGGTATGGAAAATAAAAAACAATACAGCACTTTTATTGTGGAGGATTGCCAATCTTATCAAGCATGCAAAGAAATGGATTTAGAATTTTTATTTTTTATTTATGATGGGAGAAGATAGGGAAAATTTGTCATGTTTTTAGTATTATATCAATAAATATACATGTAAAATTGCCACACACCAACTGCTACATCATGCAGGCATACATGCAGACCTAGAAACAACAAGAAAACACCACGCATAAAGTAAACGTTCACTTTCTCTCTATCAGAAGTGGGGAACTTCTGTCCCCCCCCCCACCTGTTTTTGGACTCCAACTTCCATCAGCACTAATCAAGATCGGTCAGGGATGATGGGAGTTGTAGTCCAGCAACATCTGGAGGGGCACAACATCCTCATTCCTGTTCTATTCCATAACACCAACAATTTTCAGTTTATAAAGCTGTTTAAATACATATATACCATACCATCTAGGAAAACAATTTTCCACCAAGTGGTGACCAGTGGTGAGATTTTAACTCTCATTCTGCACATACAGTACATATATTTCCCACCACCACCCAGAAGGCTTGACTTAGATGCCAGGATTATTGTAGCACCACTGGAATTCACCCTAAATTCACAGAGTACTAATTATCCCCTTTAAATTTGATGTATTTGCTTTCCAAACACTCCCTAGCTGGCATAAGGGCATTGGGGGACAATAAGCAAGACAATCATTTTCACACTGCTAACCCTTTATTTTATATAGTGTCATCAATAGACTCCCTCATCTAGAGCAAAAGGTCTAGGTCATGTTTTATGGGGCTTGCAAGGCCCACAAAGTTCTTGTTAAGTAAATACCAGAGGCTGTGACCTTTGTCTCCATCAGTACATGGGAGGATATGAATGCACAAGACCCTTGAGATACTAATTGCCTTAGGGGATTGTGCTTTCCAGACCTCCCCTAAATATTCCCAAATCTTACCCCACATTGTATTTCTTTTACTTTAGAAAATATGGCTTGGTTTGACCTTTCAGGACCTCATGTTATCCACAAGTCATGGCTGCAAACTTCTATGCAAACTTCTACTTACTGGCCATCTAGTAAAGTCTCACATTTGTGACTGATGGCCCTTCTCTCTGCACGTCTCAGTAAATAAGCAATGCCTGGTCCCCTATTGGCATCTATACCCGACCGTCTCCTGTAAGAAAAGTTCATCTTGTACAAAGGAGACACGTGACCTTTTGCTACTTAAGAACACAAATCCTATGCATTCTTACATGGGAATGTATCCTGTTCTACATAGTAGGACTTGTTTCTACGTAAACATGTATCTCCTCAATTATACAGAGCCTTTTCTGTTCTCTAAAGAGGTGAATTTCACCTTAGCAGAGGAAAAGGCACCACCAGTCCACCGTAAATTTGAACCAGTGACCTCGTTAAAGTGAAAGTTAGCCGACTTCCTCATGTCTCTCTTTGCATGCACTTGCATAGCATCTTAAAAGTTTTGTTTAAAGCAAAAAGAGACACAGTTGCACTTAGTAGGGTCAAAACCAGTGCAAACAAAACAGAGAGAAGTGTGTTTAATTTATTTAAATCTCCCCATCCTATTAGATGCTTTGGGGGGGGGGATTTCACAGTAACTTGAAAATGAAGCATGGTTGGCAGTGGTCAGGAGAGCTTGCAAGGGTGACTGAATAATAGAAACTAATTGCACAGAGACCTTTCAAGGATTTGATGAAAACGGATTTGCAGCCATTCTTTCCAAATACTGGGCCATTTTGCACTCTGTCCCTTACCAGCTTTGCTCCCCTTTAAGCATTTCCAGCAGTTCACACCACATGCATACTACTTGCTGGAGACACAAGTCAGAAGAGGAGCTTAATATCTTTAAGACTTGTTTATTCAGGATGAAGTTTCAGCTTTTGCACATCTGTGCTGAATTAGTTGCTTGAGCTTTCTTTTTTCCCTTTTTTTTAATCAGGGACAGCGTTGCCAAAAGAACAAGTTTATCCTACTTCAGCTTCTCATTAAAGGTCCGGCCCTGATTTCAGCTAAAGCAGGACGGGTCATGGCTACACACTGTTGTGCTGGTGGGGGGCTGAAGTCTCCAATTTACAGTCTGCTACATCTGTGCAATTACCAGGACCACCAGCAGCGAGAGAAAATATTAATTCCTAGACTTTGTTGGCCCTGGTCAAAATATTCCCATGTCTATCTCAGGACAGGCACCTATGGTTTAAGAGGCTCCATGTGTTAGGAATAAAATGGTGGAGCACTTATTGTTACGCTCTTTCCTTAATTCAGTTTGTTATGCTGACCCACGTTTGTATGGAGCGAAAGGCTCAACCACTGTAAAATGCAGATTTCCAGTGGTTGTTTTTTGTTTTTACATTGATCATTTGCATCCCCATCCCAGGACAGCTGGGAAGCATAGAATCTCCTCTGAAGCGGCTGAACACATGTGCATCTCCCTTATACATATTTGTACTTTTTGAATGTAGTAGTCCTACAGGCCACTTTTGCTTGTGCATATGTGGTGGAAATGCATTCCCAAGTGTCCACAAAAGCCACAGGGGATTTGTAAGAGACTCATCCTCCAGTAAATGAGCAATAGGGAAAAGAAACTGATGCTACGGTTGTCGGAGAGAGGCCTGGGCTGTAAATAACCATTAGAGGCCATCTGGCAAATTAATTGCGCTCTGCCAAAGGAGGAGATGCTGAGATTCAGATGCTTTTATTCGCCCCACATGCAAACGTAGACCCTGGCCGATCGCCTGCATTTGAAGATGGTCCAACAGTTGAGATAAGCCATCAGCTGTGCAGCACTTGCGTTCTCCAGGGCTTGCATGTGATTCTGGAACAGGTTAGCTCCTAAACCTAGACAGCCTGGGTGAAGCCCCAGGGACCGCAATATTAATTTCCGGTGGGGGGGAGGGGAAATGTGACAATGCAGCCCTTCAGTATGTGCCGTTTTTCTGCCGACTAAACAAAAGAAACTAAACTAGCAAGCCCACACATTTTCCAGACACTCTTCCATGAAGTAGTTATGAATGCTTGTAATTTCAGTGAATCCATGTCCCTTTCTCCTCTTTCCCATCCCCACCCAACTGTCTCATTCTACCTCCATTTCTGAATATTCATTCAGTTTCAGGTTTTGCACCTTACAATACAAACCTTCCCAAACCAGGAAACCCAGTTTCCTGTAGCTTGTCTCCTCAGTACCTCTTATGTCTGCAGCCTTTAAACTTTGCATTTTTTTTGTCCTGCAATTTTGTTTGCTACCCTCTAGGGTCTTCCTTTGCCTCACCCCCATAGGGTTCTAAGCAAAATACCCAGAATACTACACTTACAGCTTGTGGCACATTGTTAATAACACTTATTCTTGTAAATCTTATAATCAACAAAACAGACATCCCCCTTCTATGAAACATCTATATGAGAGCTAGCCATTTCCTTCTCTCTTTTGTGGATAAACCTGCAAGGAAGCTGTTTGGTGGTGTGACATGTGAAAAGCAATTCTTTCTGAACCTTCTAAGCATCCTTATATTAGCATGTTGCCTGCATGCCATTTGTAGCTGGGCAAGAATCTTGAAAAAAAAACAATACACCATCGCCCAGAAGCATTACAATATAAAAAATTGTGTTTCCATATCTAGTGAAGCAGGCTTAGTTGCTTTTAATAGTTATTTCCTTGTTTTGCTTAATATATAGTATATTAAGCTAAATAGCTTTATAGATTCATTTTAGTGATAGTTGGTACACAAAGATTTTGTGCTGAAGGGGAGAAAAGTAAATTAGAAAGAATTTGTGTGTGTGTGTCTGTATTTGGCAATGTTTCCATGTTGAGAGTAATATTACTGGTTGTTTCAGAGATTGATTTGCATGAAGGCATTTTTCTGGCCATTGAATGTGTATAGTCTTCTATTGGCCAGAATAAAAAAAAACATGTAGAAGGAGAGGGAGAGGGAGGAAAGGAACCTATTTTATTACAGAGGTATAAAAACAGTGAAGTAATTAATAAAATCCTAAAAATGTAAAACCAGAGCTCAAAAAATCTACTTGGGTAACATGACAAAGAACAATTTAAGCTGTTTTCCTTTTTCCTGGAGGTGTGACATTTGGAATTGATTTCACAGCCTGATTTTCATTAAACTGCCTTTAAAAGCTTGAGATTATAAGAAGCCAGGAAACCAAGTTCATAATGATGATTGATAGCATTAGTGTCAAGTCTAGAACATTCCCTCTAGATGTGGCACAGGAAATACTTACAGTGTATGGTTCAAGGGTTCTTGGGTCGTGCTCCCCGAAACATGCTGCATTGTCGGAAGAGCAACAGAAAAGTGTGTGCAGGTATGAACTGTGTTTCCCACAATTTTAAGAAATTATAACGAGAACCATTTTGCACTTTATGGGAGCATGCAGTCAAGCAAGGAGCTACAGCTAATCCTGGAATCTGGCCAACTGTACCTATGTTGATCACATGCGTAAGGTGTACATTTAGACAATTTAGGATGACATCTAAAATGTAACAGCTGAAGCAGAAAATGTGTACTTATTCCCACACTCAGCAACCTAGAAAAAGGTAAAGCCAACCCAGTTTCTTCCTTGCTCACTGACTAGTGCCCTGCACACAACCTGGGATAACTGGTCCTGTAGCAGTCAGCCGCTTGTGACCCTCCTTTTCCCCCTATGAATGATCCCAGCGGAGTCACAACAGAAATAAGCTTGCTGTCTGTGAGATCTACAAAACTGTTTGCTCCATCTACCAGAATCCCATGCTTAACAAGTTGAGGAACACTGATGTATTGGAGAGCAACCTATGCTCCCCCAGGAATGTATATGCAATTCTGACCTACCTCACCTAAGAGTTGAGAAGGAGCCTATTCTTCCATCTGTCCTGAGATTAAATGAGAAACTTGGCTCTGAAAAGTGTGATATAAATTAACAAAATATTATTGGACAGTGGCTGGATCTAGACACATCAAATAAGTGTTTCAGTTAAACACGTCGTAAACTTTGTATGGCGAAAACAGAACTCCACAGCCCTGTCTGGTGTCACCGTGTTATAATGCATATACAATACATATAAAGCACTTTTTCTTTGCCAGTATAGCTGAGACTAATGTTTCAAAGATCATACGGGGCTAAGAGGGAAATTAAACCCATGGCCACTAGTGACAGGGTTTAATGGAGCATCATGGTCACCACTGCACCACAGCCCTATCACTTGTGCTGACCAGGAGCAAAGAACCATACCCCACCTCAAAAAAACATTGTCTTGCTGTGCCAGCTCTCAGGCCAATACCACAAAGAGGACTGGATTGGGCCTGTTGCTGTCACATGATGGCACCAGGACTGGCTCTCCCAACCCCTCATGATGTGTTTATCCCAAAGAAGCCATTAATGTCAGTCAAAGAGGAAAACCTTGGTCTCTGCTTGTGGTTTATCTGGCGAGAAACTACGAGCCTGGGATCAGATGACACAAGCTAGACCATAGCTTGCTTCCCAGCAGGATTGGAGAAGAAGCAAAGCGTCTGTGATTTCAGCAGCGCACCTTAACATTGTATGCTCATTTGCATTAAACCATAGTTTATTTTAACTATGGTTTAACGTGACATGTGAACTAGCTCTGTTTAAATAGAGAGAGGGGAAAGTGCCATTGTAGTGACTTCCTTTTCAAAAACATGTGAATTGGCCCAGGTGTCTTGCATCACTTAAGGTTTTGCTGCAATTACTAGAGCAGGATTTTTAGAGCTCTCCGTTCAGGTGACAGACTTGGAAAAGCTCAGCTTAGGAACTGTTGTGCTTGTGGAATTACCTGCTATTTTTGGCTACACCTGCAGCTTATTTCCAGCTTTGTCTGAGGTGCAATTGCTCAATGACTCATTTATATAAAGATGCCAAAAGCACCCACATCACTTAGATTTGATTCTGTTCCTTTGGTGTTTAGAAGTAGATAGGATCGTCCAATGAAAGCAGCTAGACAAGTTCTTTCTAATGATATCACTGGGCTTGTCATCATTGCCTGTAAGCTAAGGCATGGAATAACAGTTACTATGATTGCTCTCGTTTTGCAGCCTTTGCAATTGTAAGAGATTCCCCCAAAGCCTTCAGATTTATTATTGCATTCCAAGTTGTACTTATAAGATAGTCTCTAGTAATAACTTTGGGACGTGTAAATTGTTTGGGGAATGTTGTCTGTCTCTATACTAATAAGTACCTTCCTTGTCATTTTGGCTGCATTCACAGGGGAGTTACTAGGTGCCATTTGAATGTTTTTCTCAAATAAAGACCCTAAATAATTACCGGGGGGAAGAAGAGGGAATCACAGAAACTTGGCCCAGCATAACAAAGCAAGTCCATGAACTTCAGCAAGCAGACGCAATGGAATGCAAGTGTATATGTTGCGCCCATTTCAACAGTGGGTGGAGACAGAGAGGCCCCATGATGCTCTTTCTCCCCCAGATTAATCATGCAGTGAAGTGGGATTGTTTCTGAGGGGGGAAATGGGATATCTAAAAAAGCTACACCTGTACGCTCTGTTCCAATAAAATTGTATTGACATGTGGCCTACTCATGAAGGATGCATAATTTATTATCTTACTTAAACATATATGTATCTTTCCCTTACAGATCATAATAGGAGAGTTTTATCGGATCCATTGTTTAAAGGAAACATCCCGATCCTTCATCCAGAACCCCTATGTGGCAGCTCTGTACAAGCAAGTGGGTTGCTTTGCCTTTGGATGTGCCATCAGCCAGTCTTTCACAGACATTGCCAAAGTGTCTGTTGGACGTTTGAGGCCCAATTTTATTGCGGTTTGCCGGCCGAATTTTACACTAATCAACTGCTCTCAGGGTTATATCCAAGAGTATCAGTGCTTTAACGATGACGAAAGCAAAGTTCAGGAAGCCAGGTGAGAACTTTTTCTCTCTCTTTCCAACGGAAATAGTGTGTTGTGACTTGAATAAAAATGATACCCTTGGTTGCCTACATAATCACCTTGAAAAATGGCAGAGGTACCTGAATGAATGAGCAAGCGGGTTGACTTTCTCAACCGTAAAATTAAAGACGTAATAGCTCTCCTTTAGTCTTGATACCTCCATGCGAGTTTACAAGTCATTTGTCCAATTTTTATTCCCTTGCACTGGGTGTAATAATATCACTGTAAGTCCTGTTTCAATGATAGATTTGCAAGTATATTTTCTTAAACAAACAATGGATAATTGTCCAAGGGAAGAACTTAAGAATGGAAAGGTGAGAAAGATTATAAAAAGCTGCTGGGTGGTGGTGGTGGTGGGGACAACTCATAGAATTTGATACACTTAACATTATAAAAATCACTGCTCCTTACAAAGGAAGCATTTTTTGAGGAAGGTGTAACTTAACTCAGATAAGCTATGTAGCCTTGTAGCAAATAGATTTGGCTACACAGGCTTGCAAATATCTGAGTCCACTTATAAAGATAAGCACCTATAGTTTTGTCACTAATAACCTCAAAAAAGTAAAGGAATTTCAGAAAGCTTTTCATATCAAGAAAGACAGATTAAATTATAACTTTTTTTAAAAAAACTTGCTGTTCCAAACTGCCTCAAACTGTGAGACCAACTGATTATGCATTAGGAGATGGTAAAACCTGCTACGTAAGTGCCCTGGGCCGCATGGCTCCATGCCAGAATTTTATTTAAAATTGCCATCTCTATGAGTATATATGTGTAGGGAGGAGGAGACATCTTAGAGACATAAAAATAAGTAAATATAGACAGGCAGTGTGGACTGTTTAATTTCATATCCTTAAGTAATTTTAAACTGCTGTTCCTGTTTTGGTATTTTAGGGGGTTGAGAGTTATACTTGATTTTATTGATGACTGTGCAAAGGTGTTGTTCAGAAAACCAAAGCATTTGGCCATTTGCTCCAGCAACAAAACAGGTGTGCTACTTTGCTTCTTTTGTTTTGCAGGAAATCATTCTTTTCTGGACATGCTTCCTTCTCCCTCTATACCATGCTTTATTTGGTGGTAAGTAGGAGGTCATGTATCTTTAAGAAATCATGTTTTATCAATGTTTCTTAAGGCAGTGTGAGAAATGAGTAAATGCTTATGCTGGGCCAAAGTTTTCAGCCCAGCTTTGTTTTTTGACATTACATTGGGTGGTAGTGTTCAGGTGACAGCCCCCGCCCCGGACCAAAGAAATCAAATTTGAATCTCTCTCTCTCTCTCTCTCTCTCTCTCTCTCTCTCTATATATATATATATGGGGGGCAATTCTAAGAGCTTTTTTGTACATCTAGCCGTTTGGCTTACCTTAAAGAAAGGTGACTGAGAAAAATTCTTTTTCTTTTCTTTTTTCTCTTTAAACCCCTTTCCCCAAAATGTGAAAAACGCTGGGCCCAATACTACTGCCCAACATTACCATAAACCATGGTTTATGAACAGGGCTGTCTTAAGCATATGCAGTGCTGGGGTGCAAAGATCTGCCTGGTGCCCTCCCCCCCAGGTTGCCCAGTCCCCGGTCCACAGAAGAGCGGAGCTCGCCGGCTGCCTCAGCGTCTTGCTGGCTCGGTCGCCCCCGAACTCATGGCGCAGAGCCTCCCGCAGCAGAATAGCGCCGTGGTGCTCTGACCAACGGGTGGGCTCTTCCCCGGACTCAACTCTCGGGCCCTGGACTCTCAACCTGGTGCCCCTGAGAGCCTGGGGCCTGGGTGCCCCACACCCTGAGCACCTATGGGTAAGACGGCCCTGTTTATGAAGGTAGCAATGTGTACAGAATGTGCATCAGAGAGTAACATCAGACATCAGCCTGATTTGTTCCTCATCTTCGAGTTGGGAATTAGGACCTATGGAATGGGATTATGACCTATAAAACAGGTGTGCTGTAGAGGCATTTGGATGCTGTGGTTTCAAGAAGTTGGCGTGAGCAGCCATAGCTGAGAGGTAGGCAGAGCATCTGCCTTGCAAGCAGAGGGGACCAGATTGAATTCCCCAGCCTCTCTAGGTACAGTTGGAAAAGACTCCTAGGCAGTGTAAGCAATAATGAGCTAGATAGACCAGCAGTTTCTTGTTCCTTTGCAATGTTTATCCTGCCAAAAAAGAACCACATCTGCATTACTTGTTTCGATCTCAGTTTCACTAGAAAAAGCAAGAGCAAGCAAAGCTCAAGGAATGCAAGCCTGCGTGTATTTCATTTTGCCAAGAAACATAATTGAGATAATGTTAGGCTGCTTTATTTGTCATTTACCTACATTGATTCAAAATCATAATTATCTGTTTCATTAGGTTTTTTTAAAAAAAGTAATCTGCTTTCTGAGTAGCTCTTCAGGAAGCAGGGCAGGTGGACTTACTAGCCCACATAGTTTCATCCAAAACTATGGGGCTGGTCTTGTTTTTCTTTGTCAATGAAAAATGGCTCTGCCCTTCCTTTCCTCAGCTTGTTATGCCAGAGTATTTCCTGACTGTAGCTGCTGGAAGCATGCTTGATAGAGCTTGTGAAAAGAGCACGGCACAGGTCAATTATGGGTGGAACTACCCTAAGCTTTTTGGAAGGAAAAGGGAGAGAGATTTAGGGAGTGATTTGTGGTAAATGTAATTAAGGGAAAGCTTTTTCTTCTTCTGAGACTATTTCAAAAGATCTGTGGGCCCTGAATCTCCTGTAACCTTAGATATGAAATTTGGGGGCAGGTGGGGGAGGAGAACCCAGACCTGAACTTATAAAAACATTAAACATAAGTAGATATATATGTGTAGGCTTTCTGCAACACAATTCCTTCTCTTTGCTGCCCCAAAAGATAAATTAACACACAGCTCCCTGCTGTTTCCCCTCCCTTTTCCCTTTTACTCTTTACTCCATAATTTAATTACCATGCCTTTCAGACTGTTTGGGAGTCTGCATGAATTTATTTCCCCATATTTTTCTCTCACTTTTCTTTAAATGTTTCAAAGTTATTCCGTAAACATTTACACCATTTCCTCTCAGCGATGGTAAAATAACGTTGGAGGCGGGTGGATTTGCAACATGAAAAAGGCTAAAGCTCATTTTTGGTTCCCCCTCTTCCTTCTTCTTAAAAAAAATAAGAATAATCATAGCAGAGGCTAAAGCTCATTTTTGGTTCCCCCTCTTCCTTCTTCTTAAAAAAAAATAAGAATAATATAGCAGTAGTGAGTGAGTGTGCGTCCTTTGGTTATAGCAATGGAGCTGGTCTTGAGGACTTCAGAATAAATGGTTTGTTTTACCTATCACCACTTCCATTTGCCATGAAATGGTTCCACCATTTCCCACCCTGTATGTCTACACCCCGCTAAACTCTCCAGGACCTCTTTAGAGGCTATTTATGTTCCCTGATTTTAAAATTGGAGGAACAGTATGAAGACCTTCTGTACTGTTTGGACTGAGGTGAAAACAAAATAGTGATTATATGGCACTTTGGTATGGTAACCAAAGCAATTCATGGAGAATTCACAATAGAATAGAATTATATTAATGTGTGCTCTGCTCCATGGGGTCACGAAGAGAAGGACACGACTAAACGACTAAACAGCAACAACAATTGGACCGAGCTGAATGTTCTGCAGCGGGGGAGCCTATTCTGTGGCCCTGCAAATCTTGTTGGACTACAACTTCCAGCCATCCCAAACAACATGGCCGGTAGTCCGAGATAATGGCAGTTGCAGGTCAACAGCAATCTAAGCTAGAAGGTGCTCTGGTAAGCTCTAGCTTAGATTACTGCAATGCCTTATACATGGGGCTGCCTTTGAAGACAGTTCAGAACTGCAGCCAGTGTAGATTTCACCAGCCAAATTGTTGACGGGGAGTAGGATGTTTGATCATATAACACCAATCCTGATCCACCTTCATTCACTACCAGTTACTTTCTGGACTTAATTCAGAGTGCTGGTTTAGACCTATAAAGCTTTATGCAGCTCATGACCCAAATACCTTCTGGACCACGTCTCCCCACATGAACCTATCTGGACCCTGCCATCATCATCTTGAGTCCCTTCTTCGTGCCCCTACTGCTAGCAAAGAGTGGCTAGACAAGAACAAGTTTTTTTGTGGTCGCTCCCCAATTGTGGAATGCTCTCCTCAGAAATGCTCTCACTTGGCTCTGTCATTATAAGCATTTAGCACCTGAGGGTGTTGAGGTGAGGGGACGTAGCATCTTTTGTGCTATGCTTCTTTGCTTATATTCACAGTGCTACTCAGTTGCTTATTTGGCACCATTTCCCCCCCTCCCCTGATGTATTCAGGGAGAATTAGCTAGTTGGTGATGTCATTCAGGACAAACAAATCTAACACAGATTTTTATTTTTTTTAAAAAATGTCCTCACTCTGAATTTGCTTCACTGGTAATATCATCACATAGCCAATTCTCACTGGCTAAATGGCAGCTTCACTGCTCAATTAGAGGATTCCTGATACAAGAGCCATTGGGATTGTGAATAGTTCTCCCCCCTTTTTTTCTGAGTGTATTGTGACCTGAGGAGATAGGATGGGCACCACATCTGCCCAAAATGTACTTGGAAGAGGCTCTTTTTATTTTTGGCTGTACTGGGAAGGGACACTTGTCAGGGGAGAGCATGGTAGTCCTGAGTACATTTGGGCGTTTCTGCAATCAGTTAAACACCTTTCACTCTCCTTCCACCAAATAATGGTCAAAGAAAAGGAGGGGCGCAGGCAATAGGGGGAAAGGTGTTTGTGAAATGTGCCCAGCTAGTTTGGCTCATAAATGTTCAAATTTGATACTTGGAAATGGTGCTGGGGAAAGTAGGAGGCTAGAATGTGGCAGGGAGCTCCCCAAACATTCAGAGAAGTCACCTTTGACTTAGATGAGTCACTATTAGTTTTGGATTCATTAAAGAAAATGGCATGTACAGACAAGCATGTAATTTCTGCAAAACTGGAGGCTGTCTGTGTGAGTTTCAACTTACTGAAAATTGGACTCTTTCTCTGCCCCTACCGCTGTACGCTACTGCCCCCACCCAGGCAATTGCTGATTCTGAACCTGCAGAGAAGCAATTTTACAGGCTTTGTGGGCCTGGCACACCGTATCATAAAAACCTGCTCTGCTGCTTTCGTACAAAAAACAAAATGAAAACCACCTTGAAGTGCTGACTAATGTCAAACTCTCCCACAAGGTGCTAATTTTCCTCTACTCTCATTTGACTTCAGGTAGAAGAAGCTGTCACGGTTGATCCAGTTTTGCCTGTAGGGTTTTCCCTCTTGCACTCCAGTCCTCTAGGGAGTGGATCTTCATTAAATTTGTCAGGGTTGCATTTTTTTGGATCCTACAAGTTCAGCATTGTGCTCTTCGTACTGCTTGATACATTTGGGGGCTTGTTTGTTTTTTGAACGAGTCTATTACAGACTCATGTTTTGTTCCAGTTAAAACTGTAACATTTGAAGCATATGCTCTGCGCATCTATTTTAAGTCTCATATATTATTTGGAGAGCCGTGGGTTGGTCTCTTGTTGCTCAATGCATGGTTGGTTCACATGGGGTGAGAAAAGGTGTGTGTTATGGTTTTAGTTGGTTTGCAACAGGAATCTGCATTGTGTACTAGCAGTGTGCATTGGATTCAGATGGATCCTGAATTCCAAAGGAAAACCCACAATGGCATAGCGAAGCTTCTTCACAGCAGTGTTCAGATGTGCTTGGCCAAAGCTCATTCTTGACTTAATGACATTCCATTAAGCAATTGCATTAGTTTCCTGCTGCTGCTCTCTCTGCCCAGTTCAGACACTACTAAGGCCAGTCCAACAATACCCACACATTTACTCTCCTCTTTATGTGGAAGAACACCAACTACCATCTAGGTCAGGCTTCCTCAGCCTCGGCCCTCCAGATGTTTTGAGACTACAATTCCCATCATCCCTGACCGCTGGTCCTGCTAGCTAGGGATCATGGGATTTGTAGGCCAAAAATGTCTGGAGGGCCGAGGTTGAGGAAGCCTGATTTAGGTAGTATTTAGCTTTCTAAATAAATGTGTCCCGACTCCAGGGGTTGTTAGAGTAAGCCAGGTAATGTTGCCCACAGGGTGTTGCATTGTGCCAGCCAAATCTGAAAACAGCTGCTGGATTAATGTCTTATATAACTTCACTGACGTTTATGTCGTTGTGCCATGCGGGGTTAGGAAATAAACTCCTGAGGTGGCCACCTTAAATGCTACTTGTTTTAGTTCCCAGGGCTGTGCTATACTTACTCTAACAGCCAGATGAACAGTGGAGTTCATGTCTGCAAGAACGCCAAATAGCAAACTTCTGACTCTATTTCAGTGGGATCATGGCCAATCTGTTAGTCATTAGATAAATATCAGTGACTGATTTCAAAGCCCCAGACTCAACAAAAGGGAATGATTTTCCCCCTTTACACTCTTTTGTGTGACTCTAACCCATCTGCTCAAATGAGGCCAGATGCAGGTACTCATTCATTTGAAAATTTCCTACAGTACTTCAGAAACTGTTAATCATTAATGTAAGCATTTCTCAATCAGCAGTGTACTCTACAGTGTGTTCTTACTCATCCCCACAGCAATTTTTGATGTCGGTTAGGCAACCCTGACAGCTTTAGAGCTAACACTTTAGAGTTTGAATATGGGTCATGGTTACAGTTGTGTCAAACAGAGCTTACCTGTCAAGGGCTTATGAGGGGAGTGTGTGTGGTTGACCACATCTTCTCCCACCCCAAACAGATTGTCCAGTAGCCTCTCCATCTTTCCAAAGTGTTTTCAAACAACACAAAATCTCCCCAGAGCAGTACTATGAAGTAACAAAGATGCCTTCACACAGCTGGTACTGGTAGCATGAGTTTACTTGTGTAAACTTCATGACACGCAGAGCTTTTTCCCCCAGCTGGAACTCACTGGAACTCAGTTCCGGCACCTCTCAGGTGGGTGCCATTGCCATTATAAGAGAACAAGGGAGTCGTTCATGGTGAGTTCCAGAACCTCTTTCTAGAAAAACAGCACTGATGGCACATGTATTCATTCACGCATGATATAAACGTTGAAAATGGTGGATTTAGCTGCTTTGAGCCACTGTCTGAAAATGGAATGAAAGCCCATCTTACAACAAACATATGTTGTATGTGATATTATTATTATTATTATTATTATTATAGCAGCCAAACCTTCTGAAAAGTAACAAAAATGTAAGCAACTATTAATATTTTTCTCCTCCTCACTTGTTAAGGGAACATGAGCCCCTCATTTTTATTTGCTTGGGATCCCTGACTAACCACAGACATTCCCACTAACATCACTGGAAGTCCCCTGGCCACAGAACTGCTGCACGTTGCCCTGAGAGCGGTCTGCTCTGTGGTGATGTTGCCACTGCCAGATTTCTTATATGTGAGAGGTTTTCCAGCAACCCTGGCTACATATGGCCACGAGGTCATTGCTGTCTTCCCTCCCTCTTTGGTTTTGTCACACTTATCTCCTCTGTGCTATTGGCCGCCACTTTTCCCACTGCAGCTTATTGGTCTGCAAGTGACAGTTGTTCATTTCATGTTACTATATAAACACCACACTGGCGCCTCCGTAAACCTCCCACGACTGAGTTAGCAGTATATAGAGACTTGAGTAAAAACCACTTGTAATTCGCTTTTTGTCTGCTGTAAAAACAACTTCAGTTCAGTTGGGTTGTTCGTTTTTGTTTTTTGTTTTTTTACATAAAGTGTTTGTTTTCTTTAGCTTGGTTTCACTTTATAATGAAAACCTTTCGGATGTAAAGAGGGCAGAAGATGACAGCACAGGGTGGGTTTTGTGAAAAAGAACACAAGATCGGGCTAGTTAACCTTCCACATGCTGCAACTAAATTTTGTTCAGCAAATATGGTGATTTAAAGTTTCATCGAAAGAGAAATAATTGATATTATGTTGAAGGATGATTCTAAATTGTTTAATGACTGAATGGGCTCTTATACATTCAGGCTTAGATAAAACAATTCTATGATTCTGTGAGACTGGTGAATTCCAATAGGTACAGCCTCTTTCAGAACTGAAATGCCATGGTAGAGACAGCTGTATCTGGTAAAATTCTGCCTTGCTTGCAGTTCTTGCTTGCAGGAGCTCTCTTAAGTTTAGACCTGACCTTTCTTCTCTCAGATTACTGGCATGCACTGTTTTCTTCTGAAAATATACTGATTGGCTTGTACCAGTGCTTGTGCATTGTACCAATGGGAGGTTCAACAAAGCAACTACATAAAAATGTCCCAGTCCAGACATAAAAATATTGGACTGAGAAACCATGGTTTATTGGCTTAAGAATGAGCCCATCCTAATTCATGTCTTGATTTGTAAGCAGTGATCAGACTACAGTGCCTCGCTTTTCCTCCAACTGTAAACTTTTACTGCATCAATTATACAAGCAGGCATTGCTGTGACCTTGTCACGTTCATCTCCCTGCCTTGTGTTATGGGAAGGCAGCCATAATGGGAGGACTTGGCCTTATTCAGACTCCCCTCACCCTTCATTTCAGATTGGGTTAGCCTCCAGCTCCTTTGATTTGTGGGCAAACGTTTCTGCCTTTCCTGCTGCCTCTTCCTCTCTCTTTTTGGCTTCCCAAGGTTCCCACAGGAACTCGAGGAATAGGTTGTGCCCACAACTTTCAAGAGGAAACCAGACCAGGATAAGTGGGGAGGGGTGAGGCAGGAGACAATACCCGTTTGACATCATTTCAGCTACTTCATTTCAGGTCAAGTCCTTGGTTGGCTGTTGATTTGTTTGTTCGTTTTCCCTGGCTGAAGCAAAAGTATCATTTCGAACACTGTATTTTAGGTCCAAGGCATTTTAAAAGTTCAAGTCACAAAGTGGTCACAAACACTGCTAGGATTTAAAAGCAAATTAGTAAAAAACCATAAGATGGTCTGAATCTTAATGCTATGATCCATGCTGTAGCTGCACTTGCAATAATATTCAGCAGTGTTCCAGTTACCTCATCTCAAAAAGGGAGTTGCAGATCTGGAAAATGTTCAGAAGTGGGGAAGCCAAAATTATAAAAGGGGGGGGGACTTTCCATCTGAGAATGGTGTGCTTTCTTTATCAAATTTTAACACACTATTTGTAATTGTATAAACCTTTCTTATCAGGTAGAAAAAATGATCAAGGAAAGACATAAGAAAGGTTTATACAATTATAAATAGTGTGTTAAAATTTGATAAAGAAAGCACACCATTCCCCAGTAATTGTAATCATAGGACTGTGGGTCGCTCATTAAAGTTGGATGGCATGACAGACAAAAGAAGTTACGAAGATTGAGCCGAAGGTTTGAACTTGGGACCCAAATTTGGTCGACAAGGTGGGGGTTGAAATTCCTCTACCACCTTTTGCCTACTGCTGACACCTGTTTTGCAGTGTTGGTAGTGACAGCAGAGGCCCTCCCTGCCACACAGCGCTTTTTTCCCCGGGTGCTATTTTGTTCTGCCCTGAAGATAGGTTTGTTTTCTGTTTGCCATATTGTAAACCTGGCACCAATTCTGTTCCACTGCAGTCTGGTGCCGACTGTTGCGAGGACAGCATCCTAATGTCTTTCTCCTTCCTTTTTTTTTCCCTTTGTAGCTGTACCTGCAAGCCAGGTTCACTTGGAGAGGAGCCCGTCTGCTGCGTCCCCTGCTGCAGTTCACACTGATTATGATGGCCTTTTACACAGGGCTTTCTCGTGTGTCTGACCACAAACATCATCCAACAGACGTCTTGGCTGGTTTCGTACAAGGGGCCCTGGTGGCTTACTGCATAGTAAGTGACATGTCATACCATAGGATTGTTTCACTAAACAAGCACATGCACCTTATCCATAAGACAGTGATGCACTATTCGAGTGTTAAAGCCCATCCTAAGGGCAGAGAAAAGCTTTACCCTGGCACCAGAAATGGAGTATCAGGGCTAGGTGGACCTCACTGGGGAGAGTGTTGCTGGCATTGTGCAGGAGTTGGTAAAACCAAGGAAGGATAGACTTAAACAAAGAAGGGAGAAAGGGATGGAGACTTAAATAAGGAAAACAAATGTGCAACGCAGTGTTAGAAACCTAAAAGATAAACACACAGGAAACAGTAACCTTTCACATGTAACATGTGAAGTTCATGTGAAACAATTTCCCTCTAAGGATTAGATTGGTGATGTTTAGTGCATGGAAAAGAGTTCTCCTTGAATGCATGCAAGACTGGGCACATTAGCAGGGTGGTTCACACAGGTGAATGTGTAAACAGTTACAGCAGCCCCCCACCCATCCTGAGTTTTGAAACACCTCAAAAGGCAGCTGAATATATATGTATTTTCTTTCTTCTCCACTGATTCCATTGCTAACCAAACCACTGTTTGCATTCTGTGAGCAATGTAGTCTCTCAGTACCCAAGTACAGATTGAAAAGCTAAGCAGAAATGTTTTTAGCTCCAGAAAACATGCCCAGACCAACGTCTCTTTTTGAGACATCACAACCTTCAGGAGAAAGCTATCAGAGCTTCACAGCATAGAGATAAAGGGTCACAACTCCACAATCAGCACCATGCAGTGCTCTGAATCAGGGCCAGCTGCATTTTGTGAAGTAAATAAACCTGGGGATTTCCAAGCACTGAGTTCCCACATAAGATGCAGTTTGACTATGCAGTTACAGGTATAGCACTTATATGGGAGATTTGCCAGGCAGGTGCTTACTCCTTCCCAAAACCACCAGTTTTCCCCTACAAATGACTTGCCCTCCTCACTTGCAGTTGCACAATCTAGCTGGAAAGAAAAATAATAATAAAACTGCCAGAGAATCGGGGGGCGGGGGGAGAATGCATAAGCACCCTCCATGCCCCCAGGCCATCAGTTTGTTTTCCAGCAAGCGCTTCTTCCCCAGTCCTGCATCTCCCACATACACATTGAACCTCAATTGTAATTTCAGTGGGTGAACATCTCCTGCTTACATTTTACTTAGTAGCAGAAGTGATAGTCTCCACTAAGTTGCAGAGACAGAGCAACAATATTCTTCAAAGCTTCCATGGCATTTTTATTCTTATTTATTTCTGTCACGGGTTAAACAAACAAAAGATCAGCCTGGAAGGAGCTCTTGGATATATTCAGAAAATACTTTGGGCAACTTTTTCGCACAACGAAACAGTTTTTCAGCTCAGGGGCTTCAATTTGGGTCATGTGGCTTTGTCGGCGCTGTGGGTAAAACCTCAGCGCCTAGGGCTTGCCGATCGCATGGTCGGCGGTTCGAATCCCCGCAGCGGGGTGAGCTCCCGTCTTTCGGTCCCAGCTCCTGCCCACCTAGCAGTTCAAAAGCACCCTTAAGTGCAAGTAGATAAATAGGTACCGCTTTATAGCGGGAAGGTAAACGGCGTTTCCGTGTGCTGCGCTGGTGCCGGCTCACCAGAGCAGCTTCGTCACGCTGGCCACGTGACCCGGAAGTGTCTCCGGACAGCGCTGGACTGTTAAGTGAGATGGGCGCACAACCCTAGAGTTGGACACGACTGGCCCGTACGGGCAGGGGTACCTTTACCTTTTATATGGAAGGCTTTGACTAAGCTCTCCTGTTAGTTGCTCTAAAAACTTTGCCAAAGGGTGGAAGAGGACAGAGAGAAGAAGAAGAAAAAAGCAATGCTAGGGCGCAGTAGGATGCAGATGAACTAATGCATTGCAGCAAAAACGCTTCTGACAGACAATAAGGGTCTCGATGCATGAGCAGGACACTTTTCACCATTTACTGTCCAATGACAAGTTACAAATCTGACCCCGTTTTCCTGGCCTGTAAACAGATGGCATGTTTTACTGGGCCAGAGGAGGGGTGAGAGTTCGGCTGCTATAGGCTGACTTTCCTGTGACGAGATAAAGGCCACGGAGGAAGCAGCTGCCTGAGAAACACCACGCACATGTACACCACTTCCTTTTTAACCCTCTCCCTCCATGGCTGCTGCCCTTTCAGTCCTTCATCAGGATGTGCAGTGGGTATTGGTCACTTTTAATCTGGCCCTTGTGCAGCCATGGGGGGTGGGGAAACAGACATGGCTGTAGAAAAGGAAACGAAGAGAGGGGTGACTACTGCTCCCCTACGTCTTCCCATAATTTCCAGCTCCTAAGGAATGGCCTAAATGTTCATAAGCAAGTTGAGTGTTGCTTATGAGACTTAGATTTAGAAAAGCCCTAGCCTCACCTTTTTCACTGTGCTTTATATACTTTTATGAATTTATTTAAAATTTATGTCCTGTCCTTTGACCCGGAGTTCTTGCAGTTTAGTTCTCCTGATTATTGGCAATAGGTACCAGTAGCTGAGGCTAGCCTCTAAGGGGGTTGCAGTACTTGTTTCATCCAGGACCATACAAGATCTTGTTTGGTTTGGAATTCAGATGCAATCAGAATGTCTAGAATCAAAATGTCTTTTATGAATCACTTTTGTGGTGGCTATAATTGTGTTGTAGCAAATTGTGGGAAAATGCAAATCTTAGGGGCCATTTCCTTCTCCTATTCACCTAACCATGTTAAGCTGTTTGCTAAAATGTTCCGGATCCAAGAAAAGTCTTTTCTAATATAATGAATTTAAGAAGGGCATCGATCAGTTGAAATGGTGAGCTGCCAGCTTACAGCATCATATAGCACATTCCCTGTCGTCTGCTGTTGAGTTTTCTTTATGGGTGGAGAGCACCTTCCACAGGAAGTGGCATAAATCCAAGCAAAAACACTCTGTGCATTTACCCCTCTCTCTTTTTGTGTTAAGCAGCTGAAGCATTAGGAAGGTTTAACACACTGTTCTAACCTTACGAGATCATGTTTCATGATTTCTCAAAGTGTTTTTATAACCTCAAACCTTGCTAAAAGTGAAATACAGTTTAAATGGGAATTAACGCCACTACCCAAATATCTGATTTAAAGCCACACACGCCATGAACTGCAGAGCAAAGGCTAAGAAAGCCAAGATGACACTCCATCCATAACTTATCCAGTTAGAAAATACAGGCCAGATTGAACCTAATCCCCCATCTGCCACTTCCACCGTGCAACCGCTACTCACTCCTGCCACAAATTGATTTGTCATGGAGCTCTTGGTATAGAATGTGGACATCGTCGTGATTGAATCCAGTCTTAGGAAGTGGGTACATGAGAGGCATGGCATCAAAATCGCCTTCCAACTCTTGCTTCTGCCATACTACAGAAATGGATGAATGGGTACAGACATTTAGCAGTTGTGTTCAAATTAAATCAAGATTTAAATATTTCCAAAATCTAGAAGACACACGAGAGAACACCAAGTATGCCTATTCCCCCCCCCAAAAAAAAAATCAAAGGGACGCTTACAATTCTCCACCACAAGTTTCTTGAAGTAGTGATAGAATACAAGCATGAACCACAAGTACTGCACACCGTCCAACAAAAGCAAGTAGTCAGAAGTGGTCTTGACTAATTTAAATCTCATTGATTTGAGTAGGACAGTCAGAGACAGCATTTGCTGTCAGGAGTTCACAGCTCCTTTTCCTCTCTTTATGAAGGGCTAGTGTTATAATGGGTAAGAAACCTTTTTCTCCAGAACGAAAAGAAAGTCTAGAATGCCTATCCATCTCTAATATAGCTTCATTTGAAACAGGAGACTTAATATGCTGACAATCAGAAAAAAGGAACTGTAGTTTTGGTACAGGAACCCTAGTGTTGCCTTCAAAGAGAACATGAAATTTAAATAAGCCAGGGAAAGAGGTTGGTACTACTATTTATTTTTCTTTGGTTGCAGCCAACCATCTATTTTTTTCCTGAGTGGAGTTCTGTTTCCTCAGAGAAATAACTGTTTGCTTCAATGCTAATATTTAGATGTCAAACTAACTGATCTGGGAACATAGCAAGACAATTGGAAGCCTGAATGCAAACATCTGCATCCAGTAAAACAAGCAGTCTCTTTAAACAATCAAATGCTTTGTGATTTCTCACTCTGAAAAGCCTAGTAGCCTAACTAATGGAAGTCTCGGGAAGTTGAATTAGGAGCACAACTTCTCTAAAAGCAGTATAAAAGCAATGCTTTTGGTCATAACATATGAACAATAATGCTCTTGCTGGACACATTCGCTGGTGGAATAAGAGCCTCTCACACATTGGTTACTTCAACTGCAGAACAGAGTGATGGGTTTTCGTGGAATTACATTTGTCAATAGATGGGCATATTTCATGGATCAGCTGTTTTATTTAACCCCATTATCTTTTCTGTACCTTGTTTTTTGGGGATTCCTGGTAGGCAGGATGAAGAGGTAGTTGTTAATGGGGCACCTTGCACCAAGGGAACATTTTGCACAAACTATTCGATCACAAACTTCCCACCTGTAAAGTCAGCTATGGGTCTAGAGTTATGTAGCCACACGTTCTGCTTTTCAAATGTGCAGTCTATGTTCTGGGGAGGTGCGCTGCTCTTGTTTGAGTCGTGAGTAGCTCTTGGGTTAATTGGAATCCCATTCTGCAGCCCCTGTGTAACTGCAGGTAAGGTGGGAATAAATTGCCTTGGGCTTTCCATTGACTCCCGTCAACATATACAGTATTTAGACGGCAGTCCATAGCTCCAGTCTGCCTACCAAATGACACTGGCATCATTTGTCCGGTATGTTCCACTCACTCAAAGTATTAGATTTACACTGACAAAGTATTAGATTTACAATAGATTTACACTGGCAGTAGCCTGCAGAAAACAGGATATTTTGGGGGTGGGGATGAGCGAGCCCACGTCTCACTGTATCCTCAACCATCCCATGGCTGTCACTTCTTGACACTGGGCCCAGTTACCACAATGCTCACGAAATTGGAAATTTAGTAGTAAACCAATTGTCATCCAGCCAGTGAACAAGTCTGTAGCAGCTTGTGTGATTGTTGTTGTATGTAAATATATGTGTTTAATAGCTGGGATTTGTTTGTACCAAGCCTCTAGCATTGAATAGCAGAGATGAGCCTTATTCTCCTGTCAGCAGAGCCTGCATTCTGTCTGACCCTTTTCCTTTCTGGCTTCAGAGTTAAATTTTGCAAGGGAGAAAGTACATCAGTCATGCGGGACTTGATACGATTTTGGCTGAGGGAGGATGTCAAAGTTTCCTCCCAGGGCTTTCCTATTGTGTGGCTGCCTCTCTGAATTGTCAAGTGGGAGACTTTTCACATCCGTAAGAGCGGATACGTCATTGATTATTTCAGGGAAAGGTGGTTGGGAATATCTCTTCCTTGACACTATTTCTTTAAAATGACAGGACAGTCATCCTGACTAAGCTTTAATTTTCTAGCTGTGAGGAAAGGGCAGTAGGGAAGGGGATGCGGGTGGGTGGGAAGGCAAGGAAATATCAAGCTACCCTGACTGACTAAGAATTACGGAGAATTGACTCCAAAGGGAAGTTTAATTTTAGTCCATTTAAATCACCAGAGGAAGCGAAGCCGTGTGAACTCTTGGTATGGATGTTGACAGCTTCTTGATTGTGTGCCGGGTTGTTGTTGTTTTTTTAACTGTAAATAACATTTTTTAAGACTTCTGTATTAAGAAAATTCCCATCCCCTCAGTACATCTCCCTTCCACACACACAGTGAATGTATTTGAATTAAAATAGTGAAAGAAACCAATGGGTGCTGGGTGAGATCCAGTGGAAAAGGAAAGGCAGGGAAAGGCATTTTCCATATCAGTAAAAAGTAGGTGAGAAGTGATACTCAATCACACTGTCCAATTACATTAATCAGGATTTTCTTTCCTGTTGGGCACTCTTAAGAGGGGCATCCCAGGCGTCCCAAGTTCCAGATATTTCTTGCAGATTCCAGATAGATCTCTTGTCCCTTTCCCCCTTTTCGAAAGCATAATTTATTTTTCTTTGCTTACACAATGCCAGGGCATGCTGCAAATTTGATACCAGTGAGATCCCCACCAGGACCACTAGACATTTATGCAAAGTTGTGCCTTGGGCCTTTGTCCCTGCTAGGTATCTAGCAGTGCTTGACGCCTGTGAAATAATTGTTTGCTTTTTTATGGACCAGTCTAGAAGACCTTCCGTCTGATTCACATTATAGCAGGATAGTGTAACTTCAGAACTGTTTTGCTTATTAATGGAGGATTTAGATTTCCTTTACATAAACCGGAGCAGGTATAAAAATCTGAATATTTATATTGAATGCATATATTCATTTTATTTACAGGTGTTCTATGTCTCAGACCTCTTCAAGGAGAAAACAAAGATTTCTCTGCCCCCACCTCCAATCCGGAAGGAGTTACTTTCACCTGTGGATATCCTTGATCGGAACAATCATCACAACATGGTGTAGACATTTGACAAATATATATTTTTTTGTTTTTGTTTTGTTTTTGCAAAATGACTGCTGACAGCAACTACCTGCTGCTCTCAATCTCATCAGACAGTAGAATGTAGGGAGAGACTCTTGCCTGACCAATGAGGTCTGACTCTGTGGCCTTTTTTACACTCACAACATTTGCATAAAATGGGTGTTGTTCAAGTAAGTCAAAGGCAACAATTACGAAATAAATCAAAACACGATGCAGGAATTCTAAATGTGCAATTGGCTGAGTGTTCATGTTGTAGTGAATGCTGAATTGTTCATAGCTTAATGAACACTAAATGATTTCTAGGAAACTGGCCATCTCTGCTTCTGCTTCTTTTATTTGCCATGACAGTTTTCAATTCCTATTAAGTGAGAGAGGGGAGAGAAAAATCCTTGCCAACTAGATTATAGCACTATCTATGAAAAATAAGCACTGATTCATGATTTGTGATCACTTTCTAAGTGTAACCTCTTATTTTATTGGTTTTCTTTATCTCCATTCCAATTCGGAACTTACTTTTGGTTTCGGAGATGTATACCCAGTAAAATGTTAGAAAAGTGCCTATTTCCACTACACAGTTCTGTAAGACAGTATTTTTCTATTTCCAGTTAGGTGTAGAATCCACTTTCTAAACGCAACCCAGCCTGCTTCACCAGTATCCCTGGTTGTAAAGAGTCATTCCATATTTGTTTTCACCTATCCCTCACTTTCTGTATGACATTCTCCATGTTCACAATTATTATCATCACTAATACTTTGGAGAGCAGGTTGGAGGTGCAAATAAGGGACAACACATGAAATATGGGACCCATGCCTCTAATATCTAATGTCAACAGTACTGTATGAATTGTCCAGCCTGCATAGTATTATACTTGGTGGCCTAGTTTTTTAATTAAAAAAAATCCCCTTTTACCATTGACTCAAATAACATACGGAGGATACCTTGTTTGTGGTCAGCCTTGTTGATCTATGTTAGCACTATTGGCTCTGGGGTTGAGACTCAGAACGCAACTCCTCCAGCTATCGGGCGGACTGCTGGGCGGGACCGTCTTAGCCTGATGTTCAGTCAAATCCCTTTTGTAATTCCCATGGCTTGAAAAGGGATCATTTTCGACTATTCATTACAGACTAGGCTAAATGCTGCTCTCAGCAACACCAAGGGCACGCGAAGAAAGTAAACCGGAAGAGACCCGCTTCTAGGCTTTCAGGTGTAATTCCAAAAGACAGTTCTTAAAAACCTTAAAAGGACTGAACTGCTGATGCTAACCAGGGCAGACTGACCTTTGCACATCTTTGCCATGCAAACTCCGTCCTATCATTTCAATTCTAGCAAGCTATGATTTTTTTTATAAATATAAATATATATAAATATATATAAATATTATATAAATAATGTATAAAACATTAAAAATTAACTATGTAAAATATTATTTCTGAAACAATTTTAGATATATCCACTATGATCATAAACTGTGTTTTGACCTGTGTTATTTACATGTTGCTGCTTAAAACAAAAAGCATTGACTTAATTTTTTATAGTCGACTAAAATATTGTAGTTCTGTGGTAGCAATATTTTAATGAAAGTAACAACTAAAGACAATTGTATAAAAACCATATTAAATTGTCTGTATTTTTGTAATGTTTCTTTTTTTGTAAAAAGAGGAATATGCAAGACTTTTTGTAGAGTACAAAATTAAAGTTTGTATTTGCAAAAGAAAAAAACACACAAAAAAATGCTGTATAAATGTGCTTTATAAATAAATGTTTCAGGCACAAATTAATAATGCTGTGCACCCATATTCTCCATTTTGACTATTCCTTGGAGCCTAAATGAAATGGAAGATTATAGCAAGACTGATATTTCCTTGGAAATTTTTACACAAAAAGGGTTTAGTGTTCTGTGCATATCTACATACCAATGGTGATGAGAGGTTATGTAGAATACAGCTCAGTAGTACCTGTTGAATATTTTACAAAGCTGTTAACATATAGCCCAAATGATGTTCTGTTTTGAGCATTGACCTCAACAGCATGGAGGCAGGTGAGCCAATTCTTTAGTGGTACACTGGACAGCACCATGCAAGGTTGAATGAATGAATGAATGAAACTTTATTTGCATCAGCCGTCGGCCATAGCAACAAAAAACATTGCAATATACACAGAACAAAATAAAAGTCAGTTATATAAAGCACGGTTTAGGGTTCTGAATCAGCACCATGCAAGGTTTGTGCAGAAGACTCCATAAGAGAAGAGCTCAAATTTTATACTATTCACATGGTTGCAGGGTGGGTTACAAAAGTATCACAATTCAAATGTCATTAAAATCATAAAGTCACAATGACAGATTAGCAGAAATGCAGTGCAGGAACATGCACTCAAAGAGGTACATCTTGAGCAATCATTGAAAAGCATATGTCGATTGTGCTAGATGCACCTCCACAACCACAGAGAAGACCTCATACACCACTGTCCCTCACACCACAGAATTGGGGGGGGGGGGTCCAACACAATAGGAGCTCTCCTAATGATCAACTCCCAGATAAGTCAATGTAGACGGAGCTGCTTCTTCAAACATTGGAGGACCAAGTCACTGAGCACTTCATATGCCAGTGTTAACATCTTAAATTGGGTTCAGTAGCAAATTCGAGAACTTTCAAGAGTGCATAGTATGTGTCTGGCAGAGGTACCCACAAGCAGCCTCATGGCTTCATTCTGCTCTAGTTGCAGCTTCCAGATTGTCTTCAAAAGTAGCTCTCATGTAGTCCAATCTGAACATTATCAGAACACGGATTGCTATGGTAAAAATATCCCTATCTAGCAAAGGGCATAATTGATGAACTAACCAAAGCTGGTCACAGAGGCCACCTGGGGCTCAACTGATATAGATGGATCAAGGAGTAGCTCCTGAGCTACACACCTGTTTCTTCCAAAGGCCTGCAATGCCATCCAAAACTGGACTTCTCCCTACTTCCCAGACTTGAGATGGAATGGAGAGAGAGGTTTGGGTGTCATCACTATAATGATAACACCGCACACCAAATCCCTGGTGACATGCTTCATTTAAACATTAAAAAGCACAGAGGACAAGATTACCCCCAGGGAACCCCACAAGATAGCTCGCATGATGCTGAACAGTAGTCTCCCATTGCTACTCTTGAAATTGGCCTTGGAGGTGGGAGTGGAACCATGGTGAAACCCAAGTCCCAACCCTCAAAGACACTCTGGGAGGACACAGTGGTCAAAGGTGGCAAACGTTGAGACGTTAAGGAGAAACGAAAAGGTTGTCCTTCCTCTGTCGCTCTCCTAACAAAGGTCAACCAGGGTGAGTGAGGCAGTTTTGTTGCTGAACTTGAGCCCAAAGCTGGATTGAAATGGGGCCAGATAGTCTGTTTTCCCCCAAGCATGCCTGCAATTGGAGTGTCCCTTGCCTCTTCAGCACCTTCTAGGTCCATCATTATATACATTGGTTGATACTGATTAAAACTTGGTTAGATGATTAGTCCTCCCGTTTTTAGTCCAGTGTTTAGCAATACTTTATTTTAAACTAGCAAAAGAAAATTAACTTGCTATGTTCCTGTTGCATTTGGAGTAGAAATCATTAGGAAATCCTCAGCAAGGAGGTGGATCACTGTTGTCTCTGCAAGCTGGAGCAGAATAATATGTCATTGTATACCTTTTGTGATCATTGTTCAACACTGAGGCTATAAGGCACTAATGTAATTGCTGTTGTTAGCTCCAAACCAGAGAATAACGGTAGATGATTTCATTAAATGAAAGGACACTAATCAACCCTGGAATGCTTAAGCAAAAGAAGAAAGGAAGGCTGAGCCCCCGGCTGCCCCATCCATTACAGGTGCTCCAAATAACGTTAGAAGTTGGTGCCTTGTTTATTGTTCTGTTACTCATCTGGAGACTGTTGCAAATGTCTGCAAATCCAGTCTCTCAACCACAAACAGGCATTAAGAATGCAAGAGTCAAAAGCTAGGAGGCATCCAAGAAAACTTCTATATAAAAATCAAGATTCAAACTCATGGTTTCCGGTTTCCTGGCACACAGATACGCGCAAGAGGTGGTCTCCTCCATCAGCCTGCCAGATATGTATATGTTACATTAAACCTATAGAAGTGAAAACTGACATTATTTTGGTTTTGGTTTCAAGATCGTTTCCAACAGCTGCCCTACAGGAAACTTGATTTTGTATTAATACTTGCACCAGATTTGTGCCAAAGCAATATTATAACAGTAAAGTGAAATGACTATCTGGTCTGATCGAGATCTGAAACAAGTAAGATTGCAAAAACAAACAGTTCTATTAAGGCTAAAACCTTTAATCATTTTGATTTCTTATAGTCATTAATGCAAACAGTCAAAATGTGAGGTTGGCATGCAGTAGTGTGACCCTAGAAATTAAAGAGCACCCATTTTATCCCCAAACACTTTCCCATGTATACAAACTGGATGAGTGTGGGGAAATCACACACAATTAAAAACATGGGGGGCAGTTATGGGTACCAATGTACCTCCAAAATACATTTTTAAATATGTTTCAAAATGTGCCATTGCTCAGAGATTACAATACTGTCATAAGAAAAGCTACTGGATTGAGCTAGATATTTTCTTCCAATTACTTTTGGGCTGTCACTAGGGCCTGTATTGCTTCAAATTGCAGAAGGGAGATGCTAGCTTTAATGTTCCATTCAATAAAAAAAAATTCAATAGAAAACAAGCATAGCCAGAGGTGGAATCACAAACGAATTATCTCTCCCACATAGACACTAAACTGGCTGCAACAGATCTAGGGCTCACAATGAACACTCACTGAAAACTTTAGTGTTGGGAAAATTCAATTTAGAAAACAGGAAGGTAAAAAAAGGAACTGAAAGTAAAGCAGCAGGTATCAAAACATCATTCTATTAACCATTGGTATATCACTTGTGGAATACCAAGTGTGGTTCTTATCCCCACCTTGCTGAAAAGATATTGCTGAACTGCAGATATATAAAAGGGAGGCTAAGATGTAAAGCAGGGACACGGGTGGTGCTGTGGATTAAACCACAGAGCCTAGGACTTGCTGATCAGAAGGTCGGCGGTTCGAATCCCCGCGACGGGGTGAGCTCCTGTTGCTTGGTCCCAGCTCCTGCCAACCTAGCAGTTCGAAAGCACGTCAAAGTGCAAGTAGATAAATAGGTACCACTCCGGCGGGAAGGTAAACGGCATTTTCGTGCGCTGCTCTGGTTCGCCAGAAGCGGCTTGGTCATGCTGGCCACATGACCTGGAAGCTGTACACCGGCTCCCTCGGCCAATAAAGTGAGATGAGCGCTGCAACCCCAGAGTCGGCCACGACTGGACCTAATGGTCAGGGGTCCCTTTACCTTTACCTATGATGTAAAGCACTCGAACATCTTTCCTGTGTGGAGGATATATTTAAGAGGTAGGACTACTTGAGGAAAGAATTACAAAGGAGAGAGGCGCATACAGAAGCTATATTATTATGATGGATAGTGTGAGAAATGTGAAAATGATGTTGCCTCTCCTAAAATCGAACCTGATTGGCAGCAGGTTTAGAGCAGACAAAGGCAGAAAGTTATTCACACAGTGCAAAAATGGTGATGGCTATGCAATAGATAGGGGCTTAAGGTATAAAAACACATTCGTTCCATAACGTTTTGCAATATTTTGAGGTTGGGCCCAAGGTGAAGCAAAGTTATTGAAACCAGGGGACAGATTTTAGTTTGTCACCATCTTCAGAATGATTGCCTTTGAAGATGCATCTGTCTGTACTCTTCCCATAGAATGGGCCCTTGCTGATTACCCTCTTCAGCTGTAACCTTGAAGATGAACTGTGTAGTTAAATAAAGTAGAAGGCAGTTGGGAGTGAGAATGACGACCATAGCACAAATAGCAAAGGAAATCAAGATGAACATTAAGATGTTCTTTAAATACCTATGAAGGAACTGACAAGGAGTCAGCAGGTCTACTTGGAAACAGAGATAGAGACTAATGACAGACAATGTTGTTATTGTGAAGAGGCTTAACAAATTGTTTACTGTTGCAAGTGAGACCGTCACGTCCTAGATAGTAGATATAACTCCATGGGAGAAGAGGAAATGCTAAAAGACTTTTAATATCTTTTGACTGTTCAGCGTAGGCAATGGACCTAAAATTCCCTAGGAGTTCCATACCAGAATTCTAAAGGAAGTAAACAGAAACAAAAGAAGGATACTATTTTGGTAGATTGCTAAGCACAAAGGAAATACGTTAAAGGTTAATAAGAGCACTGTTATTAATTCTCAGTAACAGGTTTAGGAACAAAGCAAGGTAAAGAGATACTTTTGCAATTATACAC